CTGGTGTTTCTCGAATTTGTCGGAAGCCTTGCTCTATTCTATTTCGTAGTATTTCAGCATTTTCAATTGATGTTGCGTATACAATAGATTTTAAATGTCCCCACAAATGAAAATCTAAATGGATTCAAATCCGGAGAACGAGCAGGCCATGTAATAGGATCCATTTATTTGCAAAGTGTTGATTTAAAAATTGTCTAGCCACTCGGTTAAAATGCGGCGGAGCTCCATCATGCATAAACCGCATACGAATAATCTAATATCGACTGGGAACTTCCTCTAATATTTCGTGTAAACGCGTGCTCAAAAAATCAACGTACTTTGTGTCTGTTAGTATCTCATCAAGAAAAAAGGTCCGATTAAAAATTTATCAATTATTTCTGCCCATACGTTTAAACTAAACTGGTGTTGATGTCTTGAATGCACAATAACATGTGGATCTTCTTCATCCCAATTATGATTATTATGAAAATTGAATGTACCATCCCTGGTAAAACTAGCTTACTAGAGTTTGCTCTGTTTATAAAATTCATTATATCTCATAAACGAGGACAGATAGGACATATATTTATATGACTTTTTTTTATTATTTTTAGGCGTACAATCAGCTCCCGAATTGGGTCCCACAAGTTACAAACACCCTGTATAATATAATACTGCCTTTTATCTGAAGAAATTAGTTTACATACCGAAAATGTTCGTTCAGCATCACAGAGCGTAATTCATGCATATCTATGTTATTAAAGTATTATTTTATTCAGGCTTCACTATAAGGTTCAATTTCATTCGATCCATCATTGACTGCATCATTGACTTTAAAAAGATTATTAATCAATCAAACATTGAGATCGATTTTAGCAAACATTGACACTGAATAGTATTCAATGAATATAAAAATAGAGTTTTAATTGAATGCTCTAAAATAACTTGTTTCCATGGAATACTTTTATTAGTAAAGTATCTTTCTAAAATATCTCTCTAAAATATTCCTTAGCCTCCAATATTGTTTCTAAGTGAATGTATAACACAAGTATTTGCAGTATTTCGTGAAAAACGAAAATATCTTGCTAATTTCGTTCCCTGCTTTCAATCATTTATGATGATTGTCGATGAGATCCCTCAATAATCTCAATAATCTCTATAATCAATCTCTGCGAAATACGTCGTGTAAGCGAGAAATTTTCTTTTTTTGAGCTTTTTATGAAGCGGTAGTTCAAAATTAACCACATGAACGATATTCGAATCGGCCAACAAAAGAAACGCAAATATAGCCCACCCACGTGTTGCTAGCTACTAGCTCGGTCTAGTATAAATCCACGGGCATCTCGCAAGTTTTGACTCTACAGACGTAAGTTCAAATATTAAGCCGAGAGTATCCGCGGTGTACAGAACAGTACACGGTAAACTATATTCACTCGTTACTCGAGCTCTTTGTCAAACTACTTTTAAATCTAAGCAGAATCAGAGGTTCATACATTTTTGCAGTTCTACATCGATTTAATAGAGACTTAAGGATTCACGCTCTCTTTTGTAATGATGAAAGTGCGTTCGTACTCACTTTACTTTTGTGTTATTCGTCTCTGATTATTTCTGGGCTGCAGCCAAAGCGTTTCTTTAACTAACCGCTATGCTGGACAGCACCTCCATCTGTAGCGGTGTTCCGCACTCTGCTTAACATCGAGATCGCTGGGACTTCAACGATAGGCGCACAGCCATTTGTATAATAGTCGGTGTTCGGATCTCGTACTTAAGGAATCATACGCCGCTACAAATTATATTAACTATATTATATCAATATATATATATATATATATATATATATATATATTATACATTAATTATTATTAATTGGTATTACTAATGATATTTAAATACTTTCAATAAATCCTTGTATAATGAAAATAAAAATAAATACAATGAAAATCGAACGAAATTGATTACTACCTAACCTACAGACGCGAGAGTTTTAGAATTTTTTATATAAAATAATACTTGTTTATGAAATGTTTTTACGTATGTTTTACATATGTACATAAATATAATTAAAATATTCACAGAACAAATATTATTTTATACTTTACTTTGCTACATACATTGCAAAATTTCTTCCACAACGAGGTCCACTACGGATTTAAAATTTGAAGTTTTCCTTTAACAATGATTTCATAATGTACTATTTCTTCAGGCCTCTTTTTTTTTATTTATAAATGTAAGATATCCCGCACGCTATTCCAACAATTGAAAGAGGTTACACGTTCGAAGTTGTACCTGAAGTGTGGTNACAAGTTTTCTCCCCTCCTTTTTTCTTTCTTTTCTTACTATTTTTGATTATATGAAATTAAGTAGCTTCGTAAAGCTGCAAAACAGTTGGCTAAAATTAAACAGGTGGACTTATGAGGATCAACAGACTTTAAATGTCTAATTATTGTTGTTAAATAAATGATCGTCAATATACCTTTCCACAAGTAACGCGAATGAAAGAGAAATAATAATAACTTCAACAGGCTTTTCTTCAGGAACTTTCAAAGTTCATTTGAATAAAAATGGCCGCTTGATCTCACTTGGTAATCACCTTAGATAAAGAAAAAAATGTACAGATCTAGTATTTTCTTTCATGTTAGCGGTAAGCGGTGCGAACGACAAATACAATAACGGTAAATATCGCAAATATCGATAGCCTGCGAATATCGCAGAACAATCGACTGCGCGCGCATACATAGTCGTGTCAGGTAATGGCGCCATATATAAATTCGGTTAACTCGTAGCACGCTGTAAATCTTCTCCTAATTGACTGTATTAAATTAAGTTATTAACAATGAATTGTAATAATTTGTAGAAAAATATTCGGCTTGTAAAAAAATTATTCAATTATTTACTATTTCGAGAATGAATAAGATTAGTCTAAAAACATTTGAATTTCTATTTCGAGAATGAATAAGATTAGTCTAAAAACATTTGAATTTCTAAAAAATAAGATTAAAAATTCATATTCATATTCGTATTCGCACAATACTTTGCAAGCATTTGAACTAGGTTAATTCTAGTTTGAAAATATCCGAAAATAATTTTACATCTTGTTATAGTTACGACAATACAGTTATTCATGTTCATTGTGAAAATACATCTTTCATTTATTGAAGAAACGGAATGAATAGGAGAAGCGGTTCATCAGTCGAGGATCGATATTTATAATCGAATACAATGTCGGTGAGCGCTTCGATATCGATATATCGATTTCTATTTAAATTTTAAAATACTAATTACGAATAAAAGCAAATTTTTATTGAAGTACATTAGCGATTTATAATTAACTATTTTTAAATTAACGTACTTTAGTATTAATATTAATATAAAATTAGTAAGGATAAATTACAGCATTTCGATAAGGCACGATCCACATTTGTACTTTACGAGAGAAATTTATTTGGAATTTTTTTTTTTTTTGCATATCATTATCAATTATTTTCGTGCAATAGAAATGCATAATGAAAGAAATAAGTTTGTGGTCTTGTTATATTTCTTACACCAGTTTCTTATCAATTAGTTATATCATTTGCTCATTATATGTGGTATTCGAATTTTTACTCAAGGACCAAAGAAGTTCTTTCAGGAATTAATTTAAAGCCGATCACATTTTATAAACATATTGCACTCTTACAACAATTTCAAACAATACAAAAGAAAACGAAAATGACGCTAGGTCATTTTGTTTTTTATTTCCAATTTGCACTGCCATAGATATTTGAAAGAATAAAGTAGAACAGTAATTACAGAGAAATTTTTCTATACATTTGCAGTATTAATTAGATTGTAAAATTCGTTCGAATGTTATACGTTTTTTTTGAACGAATTAATAATTTCAAATAACCTTATTAGTTTAGGAAAGTGTATAAAATATAACATGAAGTATACATATGTAATATTTCACTTACTATTTAATATACAGGTAGAGTAAATTATCTATAATTGTACAACAATTAGCAATGTTATCAAGTGATGTTAATATTGCTAAGAAATTTATTATCATTTCATATTCTTCTATTTTTCCCCAGTAATTATCACTTACCTCAATTTAGGGTCATTAAGAAATAAGAATGAATTAATTCTGGATTATGATCTGAAAATAACATGGTGAGTCAAATAAAACAATCATAATATTAATGGTTTATTAATATTAATAATGCTTTGTGCAAAATATATCAACATTAAATTATTATCTCGAGTAATAAAATTGCCTGTACATTCACTTTTGATACATGGACATACACTTTTAAAATTAGCAATTTCTTGATAAAATACACTATCATCATTCATTATAGTCACAAATAGTCGAGCATCGGAAGACCGCGTCTCTCTTTTCTTTGTTCATCTTTGATAAGATACATAGTTTAATATACAATTGCAGTATATTGCATAACTGAACAACACAGTGTGTCTGTGTTTATATATACGTGATTTCGTAAATATATGTAAAATGGCATTTTCAAAATTATTCACAAAAAACAGAGACGCCGAGACTTCAACTAAATTTGTAGAATTGGGATAAAAATGTATTCAATCAAAAATTTCTGCATACATTATTATCCATCCGTATACTTGATACATTACTTTTTATCTGAATGTTTGAAACGAAAACGATTATCTTTTTTCGATCATTATAAATAGTCTCACTCTTACAAAAAAATTGTGTGCTTTTTAATTTCACCACGCACGGATTTCTTCGTCCAATTATTATTCTTCCTCCCTTTTTGGTGAAAGTTCTGAACATTGAAAATTTGACACTGTAATTGATATCTACAGTAAAAAATGATTTCTAAATTATTAACATGTTTTGCATACCGATGTAGAAGTAAAAGAATTGGTAAAAAGATATGTAAAAATAACGTGAAATAATACCTATAGCTATAGTGTCTCGTGCGTGGTGCGTCAATACTTTTCAACGTCTTTCAATGAACACCGCACTCTAATGTTGTCAACAGCTTTGCACTGTACAGGAACACCGCCATATTTTAATATTTTACAATTTCTATCAAGTAGCCTAAAGATCAGGTAAAAAATAAGGCCTAGTTCTTTTTCGTTTCATATGTGTATATACGTACATATGTACTCAATTATCGCACATCCATACATACATGCACATACATCTGTACAAGCATGTATTTATACATACAATTATACGTATATTGAATTTACGAGAACGGAAACTTCGATCGCGATGTTCGTAAGAAAAAGAGAGTTCGTAAGAGAAGTAAGTTATTAAAAACTTCGAATGAAGGATATTTTACATACATATGTATAAAGTTGTTATTCGAAAAAAGTACACAGTTTTCTTCTAACTCAATTTTTTGTTACATTTTAGTTATAAATAGAACATCATATTTGAATAATACAACACACTGTGAATCGAAATTTTGACAGTTTCTTTTAATTGCTAACAATATTTAATATCTCAATGACAATCGTGTAAGTCTATAAAAATAAAATACTTAATAAAATAAAATTGGCTGAATCCGCAATATGCTTACAAACGACAATTACATTATAATAGAATATTTTTCCTAAATCTTTTTAAGATATTACATAAAGTATCAAAAGTTTTACCGTAACTTTATTCTCTATGTAAAATCTTATTTGGAAAATCTATATCTAATTTTATATCGGAAAGTACTCGATTTTCGGAAATGAAACATTACGTTTAAATATCTTATATTACCTGATCACAAGCTTGTCTTTAATACAACTAGAAATATCGCTCGTTACAACTGTTCCTCTTTCTAAATATTCGATATTTAATTTAGTAATTTATGTTGAAGAAACTTCTAACTTTAAATCCTTAGATAAACAACAACTTTAACAAGTCAGTGATATTTCCATTTGCATCAAATTTCTCATACCTGTACAGTTGAAGAACCAAATTTAGTTAAAAATTTAATGCAATAAGTATAGTGCACAATATATAGACGATTCATTATAGTCTTCGATACTTTCTTTTTTTTAATTACCACTTCTGCATCTTCTTTGTTCGCGATAAACTTCGTTGGCAAAATAAGACATTCTCTCGTTGTACGTACGCCCAATATAGTTCAAGAATCAGTCTCAATTTTGCCTTCAACTGTGATAACTTTCTCTTAACTATTAATTTTTTTTTGTAACAGAAAAAATGAATGTGAGATTATTGAAACGAGCTCTCAGTAATAATCAATATGTTCTCAAAGAATAATAAAGAAATTATAAAAGACGTATGATTATACACATGGTTCTGTTAGAAGATCGGATTGCAAGCGTTCGACTCGATAACGATTGTATTGTCGGTAAGGCGATCTCGTTTGATCATTATCCGTAATAACTCGTGTCTTATGAGGAATTAAGTTTTCATAACGTCCCATCAACCAATCCTGGCATAATCGGTGTTGAACGTCCGCGACATTTTTGGATGCCCAAGCTGCTAGCCATTGATGGAACTTCGAATTCAAGTGTTTTGTCACGTTTGGATGACACTGTTTAAGAAGTAAATAAATAAATACCATAAATTGAGAAATGTTATAAAAATAAGTTATAATAATCTTTTAACCGTGAAACATACCTCTCTGGCACGGCTGATAGAATGTTGTTTATACAGGAATGCTTCCTTACTAGCAATATAGAGCATTTGGTAACTATTAGGATTAAATCTGCATTGCGTTTCATCAGAATTGATAATGTCAGATGTATCTCCAGTATCTGCTAATCTTAAACCAGGAGGCCGTTTTAGAAGTGCATCCACAGAGTCTAACGATTTTTCTTTGTCTGTTGACCTAAATAAAAGTAAAGACATTGTAATATTATGAGCAAAATTATGATTAAAATTATACAGAAATTTAAATGATACTCACTCTGCAGCTTTCTCCGGATGATTGGTATTAGCCATAGATGCTGACATTATTCTTGCAGCTCTTTTCCTCCACTGTCTAACATTACGGTAAAGAAATACAGGCTTACGTCCTGCCAAGATTCTGCCTAAAGAACTCCAACCATCCATCTACAACAATCGTTTCAAGTTAAATTTTTTAAACAGTTTAATCTTTTATAATTTGACATGTGAATATAAAATTTTAATGATATTGTTTATTGTTACTATTTCGGGTATTAATACTAAGTTTCATATACTTAAGTTAAGAGTTACAGCACAATTGCAAAATAATTTATTATAATATTTTACAGATTGTACTAAGTTACAAATATTCCTCTCACATAGAATTCACTTTTTTAAAAATAATGATAACAATACAAAGATTTAAACAAAAACTACGATAAAACATAAAAACAAATGAAAAATATATGAAGAAATAATGGATTCTCTATACACAAAAAGGAAAACAGAATTTTTTTAAGAGGACTTGTTTAAGATGAAATTAAATTTTTTGATTCTATCTTCATTTTTTGTAAACAAATTATCTGTCATTATGTGATTGTCATTACAAATTGACACGTACTGAATCGCATACGTATCAATAAATACACTCTACGAAATTTATTAACAATCAAATTGGAAAAATATGGATAGATAAAAGAATATTCTTTGATGTAAATAACAAAAAGCGATAAACAAAAATAAGCTATATTTAAAATATTCTGCAATCTGTTGTTTTATCATTTTTTAGTATATTATTGGTACTGTATGAATAATTAGAAATAATTAACAATTCTTAACAATAATTCACAACCATTAATAAATTGCAATATGTGTAATTATAATAATTAATTCTTACTAATAATACTTGAAAATAATAAAACAAATTTGTCTAATAATTTTGTATAAGCAAAAGATGAAATAAAGAAGTTAAAAGTAATATTTTCAGTTCAATTATTAATCTATGTACATTCATAGACGAGAAATGAACTTTTCAAATCGAAAGCATAACAAAAAAGGCGAGATGTGAGATCATGATTTGAGCGAAATTGTTTGACATTTTTAACTTATGATGGCTTTACTATTTTAAAATACAAATGTGTTAGAAAAGAGATATATTACTCTTAATATACATGTATATATATATATATGTATATATATATATATATATACATGTACATATATATATATATACATATATTAATGATTATTTAACGTTTAACACTCATGATATAATATTGAAATAATAAAGCAGAACAAATCGAAGCTAAATGAGAGAAAATGTCTAAAACAAAAATCAGATAAAGACAAACATAAAAACTTCAATATCTGAATTAAATGTCTATAAGATTATCAAGTATTTAAATACTTGGTGCTAAAAATATTTGTTTTGTACTGTTTTTTTTTTTTATCTTATTTCAATCGTAAAAGCACAGGCAAAGAATTTTTTTATTTTTGTCGTTACAAAAAATTAATATTATCGGAGAATCAAAGTAATAAATTTAGTGGTACAAAATGATGTTAGACAATAATGTTTAAAAGCATTGTTCATGTATTTCAATATCTCTCTTCTATACAATATTATTGTTTATCTATTATTATATGTATATTCGTTTCATATACAGATTACAGTTACAAAATATATATATATATATATGTATATATATATGTATATATATGTATATATATATATATATGTCTTATATATATAGAGTTTAAAATTCACTGCATAAAGTGAAAACGGAGATATGAGCTTATAACAATCACATAAAATCTGTCTGCACATACGACTTCATAGTCTCAAGGAAACTATATTACAAATGTCACAGCAACGTTTAAATCAGATGATTTGTGGCAACAATTACATACATACATACATACATGTATACATACATATGTATATATAATATATATTATATATGTATATATACACATATATGTAAGTGTGTTTGTCTGTCTGCTGTGTGTCATGTGCGCGCGCGCGCGCTATTGTTTATATGCATATGTATGTATGTGTGTGTCTGTGTATTGTGTTGTTTAAATTAATTTAAATTTGTGCCACGTTATCTAATGAAAACGTATTGAACTGTAAATAAATGAAAAATATATAAATACACGTACGATATGATACGTGTAGATTCTTCTCTCTTTTTCTATATATAATAGCGCTTAAAATTTTATGATGCAGAGCCTTGTCAGGAAATGCATGTTTTACATTTTATACAAAATACGAAGATATTATTCAATGAGGAAACAACGTTGCGAACACTGCATCTGAAAATCTGTTATATAATTGTGTTACAAACGTATTTGTATAACTGTACCGAACACTATGGCAAAGAAAACAAAGAAATAATACCTACACCTTTCTATAAATTATGACGACGTAGTTTTTTCTTTTATCTCGACAACAAACAATAAAACTAACAACATATTTCTTAGCGTTCAGGTTTTTTAAAAAACCTGAACATAACGAAAGATTAAAAGCACATTTTAAAATAACGAAATTAGTCGACTCGTTGAAATTTGAAAAATAACGAAAAGAAGAAGAAAAAAAAACGATTCGATAAAACTCTTTTCACAACATTAAAACCAATGCTTAACGCGAGTTTTGTCGTTTAGTAGCTGATAATAGTCTGCACCGTGAAAAAATGATTTCAGAATTATACCTTTTCCATGGGAAGAACGTAGCTACACGAATAAAAGGTCGCTCAAGTACCGAAAAAATAAAAGAACGGAAAAAGAAGTACTTTTCAATACAAAAAGCAGTAAGAAAAGAGAGAATACTAAACACTGTGAAACCTTTGGCAAATGTTCGAAACTAATTTGTCGGATATCAACGTTCGTACTGTTACGTTTCCTTCAATTAGAGCTACGAATTAAAAGATACAACTGATTTTCTATTTACATGCTACACCACATAACCTTTGCCTCACTACTTATATATTAATATGTACACAGCAAAGAATTATCATACATCGGTATTTCACAGAGGCGCAACAGTTAAGCCAGGAACACACTTGGTCCACGCCAATGATAACGCTACTTCCAGTTTCTTTTCTTTTCTTTTTTTTTTTCTGTTTTCAAAGTTCAAGCTCTAACCAATTCATACTATAATTTTACATATCACACTACACCCTTTAAATCAAACAAATCTGATTCGAAGAATGTAACGTAACCATGTGGTATTCGCGTAATTCAAAATCTTCTAAAAAAGCTGGTACCCTATGTCTAATGGCTAAAAAATACATAATTTTATCATTTCATTAACATACCCTAATTTGATAGTACGGACGAAAAATTTGCCGAGCTTCTTTCGTTAATATCCATAAGGAACCATAACACACAACCTTTGGAAGTGTATGAAAAATATCCAAAACGTTATTTTATCATATAATGTATTTTCTTCCAGCATGTGTTTCTTTTTTTTTTCTTTCTTTCTTTCTTTCTTTGTCTATCTTTTGAAAACGATAATTACTGCGGGAAAGTTGGAGTTATCAGAAGACAGAAAAAGCCACGATTACCCTGCACAACGTAATGTGGCGTGGAAGCAATGTGTTCATGAGTTAATATCCACATTTCCTTTCCAAAGGCTTCACTATATTCGAATGTACGATGACGAAATGGTGGAATTTTACAAGTTAGTAGATGCACACTACCAGTCGACCTAAGTTGCGTATCAAAACATATGTACAAATTTATATCAAATATTTACATATTTCTTTTTAGAGTCTATGTCGTTAATAAATTCTAGAAATTATGATCTTATCTAATTTATAACAATGGTAAGATGAAAATGAATTAAACATTAAGAATTGACCGATATCAAATGTTATGTTCTCTTTTTCTTTTCCTAAAATGCTAACATTTTACATTCATTTATGGCACTGCTCGGATTTGTGTATGCCGTGTCCCCTTGATGTTTCGTTTTTGTCATTTTTGTACATTTGTAAAATGCGTTCAGATGCTTGCAAATATCTTTCATCTCGTAACTACACTTCTGCTCTAACCAGTTAACTTTACTTTTTCTTTCTTTAAAGAAACTTGAAGTAGGCAATTACGGAGACAGTACGATGAAGCACAGTACATTTTAAGTTTTAACTGTACATATGAAAATTTTCCTTGTTCGTTTCGTTGAACCGATTATTTTCAAGTGAAAAATCCACGGAAAATGCACGTGTTTTCAATATGAAAGCAAATTAACGAATTTAGTACGTATGTCTTACTTTTCCATAAGCTTTTAAAGCTTCATACAATCATCATTATTAAAATTTTTATCTTTACATAACAAACAAAAACAGAAAACAAATAAAAGTTCATTAGATAACCATTGGATAAAATATAAAAAATAATAATAATAATAATCGAAATTTAGAAGTTTTCGTACAGGAGTCCAAATGCCACGCATTTCCTTCCATCTTATCAAACACACAAACGTCTTTTTAACTCTAAATAAAAAATTTGATTTAAAAAACGTATCACCGAATGAAAGAATAAATCCTTTGCATAGATGATTGCATCGACAAACAAAACTTACTTTTACGCCGTAAAAAACGAGGAAGCAAAGCACAGTAAATCGTGTGGAGTAGTATTCTTCTGAATGCCATCGATAAATATTTGCGTTTGAAAATTTGGAAAAATTTCTATTGAAATATCTCGTTGTTTTGCTATAAATCGATATTTAAAATATAGAAATATAATTTATAGTTTATGGTTATCGCGTAATATGTAACGGTGTTGCAACACACCGAATATATAGAGTAAAGAATGGGGATTCGTAGTGCAATACACTATTTTTCTTTCCTATTTTTTTTCTTATTTTTCTCTTTACTTAATATACAGCACCACAATGGACGCACTGAGATGAAAATCATATCTCTCTTATCTCTTTAAACGTTACGAAAATAAATATATGACTTTCCATTCTTTTTCTTTTCTTTTTTTTTTAAGCATTTAAAAGAATATTAGTTCATTCTGCTTATATGTATAGAAAATTCTGCAACTTTTATATAATGACAAGCATGAACCAGTGCTCTGACCCTATTCGCATGATAAAGCATTGGTGACAGCAGACCTATATGGCTACATAGCTTCCTCGTATGCTGTTTGTATAATGTTTTTCGTTCCTAAAATACTTTCTACTTCTGTTTTGGTATTTTTGTTTAAGGAAATCAACAAAGATTCTCTTGGAGACCGAATTTTTTTTTTTTTTTTGAAAGGCATCCGACTGCTAGATCAAACGTTTCACACACGAATACCTCTCTGGCATGTTTAAATAGTACGATCACACGAAATAATTAAAAGAAAGTTTCCTTTTAGCAAACTTTCGTTCTTTGGGACACTAGTTGTACACTGAATGGCAACAGTACAACTTCCAATCACAGACATCAAATACGAATGAATGTAAACTTCAACGTTGGCAATGATTATGAAAAGGGATGTGGATCCTATACCTTCTTGCTAATGTCAGTGTTCTTGCGCTTTCTGCCCCTCCCCCCCCTTGCTGCCTGGTCGTTACTCACAGGATGATTGGTTGTTGGCTCATTGTCTGTTAAGGTAGGGGTGTCTTTCGGGCTAGTCTGACCAGCTGGAGCAGAAAACCTCTCAACATATGTAGACCATTTTTCAGATACCGTAACTCCTTCCCTTTCTCTTTCCCTACAACTGTTGTCCATCGCCTCATCACCTTCCGTATCCAACAATTCCATTGTCATTTTACAGTCTTTCTTATACTGCAACAATAAAATGTTTCACATTGTATAAAATATCCTTCATTTAACTTACAAAAAAATTACATACACTTTTAGCCATAATTTTCATAGAAATTAATTACGATATAAAATGTAATCTCCATGTTGTGTGGAATAAAAACTCAATTGTTAGCATCTATATTATTAGAGTATTAGAAATATATAATCAGCTTCCAAAAAGAAATAGTAGTAATAGCTATATCATTTGCGAAACAATAGAATTTTTTTAAATTATAATGTATACTTACAATGTATACTTTAAAACAATTTTCATCCGCCATAGCTTTCTCAGCTTTACGTTGATACGACATTTCTGCACCAAGTCTCATATACGCCGTAGCACATAAACCACCTGCACCACTAGTTTCTTTTGGTTGTCGTTGCTCTCGTTGGAATAACTCCATACACTGCTGGCATATAGGATCTGAGACTAAATGCTGTAACTAAGAATTTCATGTTTTTACTTTAAAATTCTGTTGCAATTTTGAAATTATATTTTAAATTTAAAAAATGTAAAGATACTGATATGTGTGTACTTACTTGTCTTACAGCGTATGTTACAACCTTATCTAACGTAAAAGCAATATATGCATGAATACCAAACATTTCTCTTAAGGTATCCTCGTACGCGGTACTTTCCATATTACCGTCTAGGACATTCTTAACCATATCCAAAAATGCTGGATAGTAATCTTCAATTTCAATTTCATCTATATCAAACAATTTCATCAAGGACATTAAATTATAATGAAATACATTTGTTTCGTAGAAACAAACTCACGATTTATACTTACTTTTGGGCTTTAATCGTAACGCAACAGCTGTACTCTCCTTACGCTGTTGTTTGTACCGTGATTCTTCTTCGGCAAGGGCTACCGCCCGATCGTACATTTTTGTTAATCTTTCACATAAAATATGATGTAACCTTAAAAAAAGGTACCAATTGTTGCTGCCCATGAAGAGCGTATACGCTTCTTCAGGATCGTTCGACATGGCATGAATTGGTACTTTGATATCAGGTTCAATTTTAATCGACGTGGAAGACGGAATCGGAGATACCGGTGCCTTGTTCCTATTCGCTTGGAGGCCACCACCCAATGATGAGGTATTCATCGTTACTGACTGAGAATTACTACACGCTGCTACATTGAGGTCCTCCTTTTCATCTATAACCGAAATACTAATTGTGTAAAATAATTTATTTTGACTATAAAGGAGCAATGTATCCATCAAATTTGATACATTACCATCTTCATCTCTTTCGTCATCACTTAGTTCTTGGCGTGGATGGAAGAAAAGATCAGGTATAAAATGCTTCAACAAAAGTTTTATTCGTTGCTTGTCTTCCTTATGGATGGCCGTTTGACGTTTTACATGATGGATAAGAAGATTAGCTGCATCGTCTAGGACAGATTTATCTTTGTAAGGTAATACAAGATGTGGACCGGTATTGTTTTGGCCATCTCCGCTGCCATCGTCTACTTGCTCATGTCTCTGCAAGATCAGTTATACTTAAATAATGAAATATACATAAGAAAATTCCTACTTAGAGAAAAAGTAAAGTTACAAACCTCATCATATAATGTTTCAATTTCGTTAAATAGGCTCTTTGACCTTAGAGCCTTCACATCATTTTGCTTGAAATTAATACCTTGATGATCCAGAGACTTTAAGTAATACTTTTCGTTCTGTTCTCTCCAGATTTTATTGAAACCTTTTTGCGCCTCCCGCCATTCTTCTTCCTTACTCTTTAGTCGACGAAGAACTACCGGTACAGCTACCACAGGATTTTTCTTAAGGCCATCAATAATGTCGGCCGCCTTATCACCGTATATCCTTTTCAAAGCTCTCTGATGAATTGTAGGGGAACAGCCACCAAGACAATCGTCGAGTTTGAATTTTTGAAGTTCTTCTTGACTCATTCTACTCATTTTCTTATGGACACCTTCGAGAACTCGGATCGTTGACGCATTAGTTTCTATTACGCCATCCAGCTCAAATCGTTCATCCTCACAGCGGTAAATAAATTCCTCGTACTGAGTTTTCCTAAATGTTCCAATCCAATAAAAAATATTTTCATTGTTCAACGCCGCGTGTTATATAAATGCAATTTACAAAACCACAAACCTGGATGTTACGAATGTACTATCTTCTGACCAAGTTGGAAATGAAACCCACGTGTCATTGAGAACTTCCTTACACAACTGCGTTCTTCCTGTACACTTTGGTTGAACGTAAGACTTTGGTAACGCACAGTATGATGCCCCTAGACGTTTGCACGCTGTATAGTCAATCTCCATTGCCAGATCACCTTGCGGTCTTTCTTGATGACTTCGTACCACATTATTTGGTAGCGCCTCAACATTTAAATTGCTACTTGCATTTGTTGCGTTGGCATTAGAAGACTCAGGCAAGTGGCCCAAAAAATCTTTAAACCACCGCAAAAGTTCAGGAAAACGACCAAGAAATGGCGTTACTAACTGCACTAACTCAGATTTAGATACTATTTCTTGATTAAATAGAACTAAACATCTGAGAAAGTTCTCGTATACTTCTTGCGACCTCAGCGCTTTACGAACCTAAAAGAATATAATAATACATATTTTTTATCATTATATACCAATTCCACTTTTTCTTTTAATAACATTATGAAAATTAAAAATACTAACCTTGTCAAAGAAAGCATAATCATTGAGACTGCCATATTTTCCAGCTTCCGCTATTGTAACACATTCACGCATAGATGATACTTTAGGCTTTTTAAGAGGTGGTCCATGCTGTATATGATGGGAATTTCCAGCCGTTACGGAAGGGGAAAATGACGGACTTCTCTTCAATTGTCCCGTATTGTGACCAAGTTTTTGTAAACTATTAATATCTCGTATACCAGATCTATCTCGCTCCCGTTCACGATCTCTATGATCGCGACTTTCGCGCTCTATTGTACTAGTACCGCTCGATTCTCGGAGATCTCTCGAAATATTTCCCGAATTATTATAAGGTGCTTTAGGTCCCAATGGTTTTTTAACAATTGTTGTGTGATCATTAACCGTAGCAGTCTTGTTACTCTGAAACATAGCGAAGAAATAAACACTAGAATAAAAAAAAACAACAAAACTTTGTTTAACAGTAATTTTAACAACACGTAGCTTACCAACGAACTTTGTTGATTAGTGGCATCCGGCAAAAATTGTCCAAACTCAGCCAGCAGATCATCTTGATTTTCGAATAGTTTAGCAACCTGACTGTAAACTTCTGCTTCCGTTAGGTGTTTCGCACCACCAGATGCACCAGATCCGCTTGTGCTACCCATATGTCCAGATTCTTTTAGATTTCGCTGTTCTTTCTGATAAGTGTGTAGAATTTCTAAAAATCTTTTATACTTGTCCGGTTGACCTTGGAATCGATTCTGAAATTATTAAAAAATTAGATGAATACTTTAAATTTCTTATTGTATTTTTTCATTCAATACAAACCTTAATTTTATTAACGTAATTAATCGCATGGTTAAACTCAACTGGTTGGCTCTGTTGAGCTTGCCCACTGGTCGGTATACCATCTTGCGCTTGACTTAACGCTTGACTCACAGCCTGCGCTTGAGCTGCACTAACATGTGAATTATTGTATGCCTGTACTGGTGGTGGTGAGGGTGCATGTACTGCCAAACTGTTATTCGAAATATTATTTGCCAACGAATGGTGTATGTTCCCAGGACTAATTTCAAATAGCATGTAAAATACAAATTGTCAATTTATTTCACAAAAATAATATGAAAAATACTACATATAATATTAATTAGCAATATCCTACCCTGGCATTATCTGCAAAACTGGAGGAGGAGCTTTCGCTGGTTGTGTTGGTGGACTTGCAACAGGGGGTGAACCAACATTCACAGTGCAATGATGTTGTGACAAGCTAGTGCAAGTATGTGTTGCTGTCGGACTTGGCATACTAACTGACACTTGAAATGCATAACCTTGCTCATTTGCTTGCACTTCTATTTTGTATCCAGGTGGAAGAAATGTATTGAAACCAACAATAAGCTCAGGATGTCCTTTAAACAAATGGCTGACTCTTGTTATGACTCCTGGTGTATCTATACTTTGAGACTTAAATTCTTTCATAATATCCAAAAAATCATTATACACCTGAAATTAAACACGATTGTAAAATAAAATATTCATCACTGGAACTTCAAGCTCAAACAGCATTAAGACCAATGATCATAGAGATTTACCTGAGGCTGATCGCTAAATTTGTACTTTACTTGATCTAAATAAGATAATGCATCTTCGACCTTTAATCTCTGAAATTGTTGGGATCCACTACCACCACCTAGGCTTGTACCTGGTGGGGTAGAAGCTAATGGTGTTACATTGGTAGAATGAACCTATAAGAGATACAATAACATTGTTAGTGAAAAACACAACATAATACTTCAATAAGAATTCTTATTCTTATGTTTTATCCAAAGTACATGACTTGGATTCATATTTTTACATAATTATAGGGATATTATATACAATCTTCAATAAATCTTGACATCTGTAATTTGTTACAAGCTATAAATATACATTATATGATATGAACCTTATGCCTTATCGTTGGCTGCTGTTGGCTATGAACCTGACTTTGTGTTCCAGGTGTAGGCTGTTGGGAACCCATATTGTGGTTACTACCACCACCTATTCCAGCATGTAAACCTCCAGCAGCATTTACACTGCTACTGCTACATGTAGAAGTAAGTCCTGCAGATCCACTTCCCTATAAATACAATTCATAACAATTTCTTATAATCTCCAAACAATTTCAACTTATAATCTCCAGAAACTTGATTATAGATTATAAATATACAAGTTTAAAATGCAATAAAATTGAAATAAAATGTGTACATAGAGACATACAAAATGAATCAGTTATCTACATAAATTGTATTTAGGAAAAATTGAGTGAAACTTCAATGATTATATCTTCATCATCAAATATATATATACAAAAATGATTAATACTATATATTTATTTTGTAAATAAAGGTATTCCATAATACCGTATGCATTATATCACAAATTTATTAACACGATAATTTAAAAACGCTTAATTCGATAGACGGCTTTTAAGCGGATTAATTTCACTCGCTCCCGCACCATTCTGTTATATCTGATATCTGAAAGACGATTACGGATGACAACATCGCAAGAAAAGAAATTATTAAAATACAAAGTTACACTTTAACAAAAGGAAAAATGATAAAAGAGATGAAATTGGGAAGAAAGAATGAGATTACAAAATAGTAAAAGAGAGAAAAAAAAATGGAAAAATAAAAAAATGATGCTGTTGTTTTTGTTGCTCGTTACTGTTGTTATTACAATGTAGATAACACAAACCTTAATGGGGGACGGAGCCGCGGTCGGCACTACAATTGCTCCAGTATATTGCTGTTGAGCTTGGGCAGTTCCAAATTGTATGCTTCCCGGCATTTCTTTCGAAGCAACTGATCGAACTGCTTGGCCAGGTACAACAACGCCTATTCCACTGCTTGAATGGTACTCCAAACCACCTCCTCCGCCACTTCCTGCACTCACCGACGAGTGCTTTAATGTTGCTGCTGCTGGTGATGCTACCTCGTCCAGCCCGCGAACACGTTTCATCGCAGATCACATTGGAAATGCTACGGATCAAAAAATCTTATTCAGAGACTATTAATCACACGTTGCTCAATCCTTAAAAGCTACCGTCAAAGAAAATCACGTTAAATATTTCATTCATAATTCAATAGGAGGTAGAATTAATTATTAACCTTCCGTGGCTGTAGACAGCATTATATTATACGACATTATTATAGGACATATAGTTGAAATGAAATTTTGTTTGTGACAGCTTTTAACGTCGAATCTACGCGAAGGGGAGAAACATGTTCATTCGTTAAAGCTCGACGATGAAACACGACGCAGCAACTCTTTCGCGGGCATCGTACGTTTAGCGCGCCACGAGCAGAAGACGGAAAAGGTGTAGCAGAGTTCGAAAGTGTTCGGTGGTGGTATTGTTTCATTTAAGGTTATAAAGTGACGTGATCGACGTTGCATCCGCACTGCCGCTCGCCAACGTAGAACGTAAATACACGTAGTGCCGCCGCGTGGAAAAAAAAGCATCCGATAAATCCGCCGCTTTCTTTCAGGATCGATTTCAATTTACGCGACTCGATATTCGGGAATTTTGAAAGCACCGCGTGCTCGGTCATCGTGTGACAGAACTTCCGTGAAATCTAAAACACCGCCAGCACTTTCCCGTAACTTCGAACAGTGCTCTGAACATTTCTTTATATTTCTCGTAAAATAATAGCGTAATACAGTGAAATTCGACGAAAGGACGAAGATTTTTTTTTTTTCGATCGAAAGCAACGGATTTGGAACGATCGTAACGATATATTTCGCTGATATTTACGTCGATCTCGATGTGGACACGAAATTATTTTTGTACGGAACATACGTGACGATTCGTTGAAAATATATCATTCGATTCTTTTAATTGATTTTTCGAATAATACAAAATCGTGATCGTGACTTCATATTCTCGCTCGGTTTAAGTTAAAAATAATTGAATTACTCATGCATACAACTGTTACATATATTGCATAATATCAAATAATTGAAATACACGTGGTTTATATTTCCATTATATTATTACTGACGATAAGAATATAGGAAAGAAATTGTATAATAAATATCAGCCTCTATGAAAATATAACCTCTACGAAATCTACTCAAAGATATGTTTAGGTAATATAACCTCTCCAAGAGAAGTGTAATAAATCATTTGGAATTAAACTTCTTCAAAAATTTAGGATAAGATATTTCTTTTTCGTAATAGCTACTGACACTTACTATTAAAAAACAGTATTCTTTTATTTGTTAGACTGATTATTAATTACATGTTATTGCTGCTACATTTTGATCTGCCATACTGTCACATATACTGTCTTTTGTACCTTATGCTTGCAATCATGGTAGAAATTTAACAAATAAAAAGTAAATAATGAGAAGGAATTAAATATTTTAAGAATGTATTTTATGAATCTATCTGAGTAATGTTTAAATCCTTTCATAAGAAGAAATATTTCTGCAAGATTATTCACAGTTTCACAAAAATGTTTTGGCATGTTGGCATCATTTGAATCTGTGAATATATCAATTAGTTTATTATCATTAACCAAATGTAACTACAAAGGATAAATGTACCCTGTATATTGTATTTGAAATTCCAAAAGCACAATTACTTTTACGCTCCTGTGTTCATTTCAGCCTTATTCGACACGCCTGAATCATTTTTGTTCCTTTTTGCAACCTTTATCTCTCTGAAGTAAAGGCAAAAGCAATAGCACAGTGATAAACAAAGAAACAAGAAAATTCTAATTCACAATGGCTAATGTAACACGTCGCAGTATGTGTTCCTATAAATCTCTCTTAGTAAAACTTTAATGTGGGTCTAATCTTATTGATATTAGGTTACAAAGTAAGATGTAAATTGTCTGATCAGGCAAGAAAGTTGCACTGAAACACAAAAGTGCGTTGTAAAAATAATTATAACCTAGTGCTTCTGTAGGACACAGTCTTCTACATCCACATAGTTTATAATGACCTTGCATGGATATAGAAATGTCAGTGACTTAGAGTATGGTAAAAATCTCGTGGTGAAGTATATCAAAAATAGTACGTACCAATTTCCATTTGAAAAGAAGTCGAACGTCCTTGCACCAGAAAGAATTTCGAGAGAAGTTGTCCAGTGGAAGCAAGTGGTCGAGGGTTTGAGGCAGAGTTGCGACCTGCGGAGAGGAAAGTTTTGTGCCGTTCCACGAGGAGATACGAGCGTCGGTGGAGTTTCTTCGTTAGGAAAATTTCGATCGCAGTATCGAGCCTCGGTTGGGGAATTTCGCTGGGACACAGAGGAGACGAAATAGAGCCGGTAAAGCCAGCTGCACGGACGCGTACGAGGCCCGTACGGCTACGAAGTCGTCGAAGCGAGGTTTGTCAGTGTTGCACGTTTCCAAACACTTCCCGGCCCTCGACGTTACGCAATATTCCACGTAAATACATAACACATTTTCCCGAGAGCTCCAGTGAGAAAATATTCGTCCTGCGGTGCTCCTTTTACAAAGGAGTCACCTCGAGTTTGGGTAAAATCACTTTGGATACACTTAGATCCCTCGTTGATATATCGGTTCGCAGTACAGCCGTCTGAACTGATTTTCTGCACAAAAGCTTCGGCTCCGTTGTTTTTTCACGACCAAAAAATCGACGAAGCCTTAACGGGCCGGTCGGTCTGGTCTTTCAGACAGGAATTCACTATGCTTTCTTGGGCCTCCCTTTCAAAACCATCGAAATCTTGTCGTGTGTGTGAAGAAACTCAGTAAAATGCACATTTTTGCGAGTACTTCGACAAATTACCGCACTTTTTAAAAAAAAACCCAAATGCAAAAGACATACTCGCACTCTCTCGAGGTACAAGGCAAACTATTGGATTTTGTATGGCAAACAAGGAACTGACTGGTCGTATAGCGGGATGAGGAAGGTGGAGGGGATCGTGCAGGACCGTATTCATCCACTAAGCGTCTCTGTTACCAACCACTCGGGTACCTCCTGCAAAGCGTACGTGTACGCCGCAGGCCTCACGAGACTTCTCTCTTGCAACTTTCATTAATTGTGCATTGATTGATTATTCTCCGGCTTTACTTTTTTCTCCCCGCTGTTCTCCACGACGAACATATCAACAGTCGCTCGTCGACAACTATTCTACTACGTTACAACATGGAATCACATGGAATGTAATCGCTACGAAATAATCGTTTTTCGTCGTGATTAACAATGCCAATTGCCGATCGTACGTTTCTTGAAATCGTGTTCTCTCCCTACGCTTGTCGTTTCGGCCCGCACTTTCTAGTCCCGAGCACACTGACAGTTTCAGTTTCATATTCCAAACATTTCCAATTTCTGTCCCTGCTTCGTGCTTTTACGTCCGTTTACACTGTCGACAGTGATCATATCGGGAATACTCTTGTAACAAGTGGATAACGCGTAATAAGTTAATATTTAAGATATAAAGTGCATCTTAAAAAACAACTAATATCTATAGATATAAATACATTGGAGGAAAGAGCACACGAATACTCTCGAACAGCATACCGCCAAAGTTTCATTCGAGCACTTCACGATCGTATCAACTTCTCGCATGTAAGTCACATTAATAATTACCAAAATATTTCTAACAGCGATGAAACTTTGCACTTCCGAACTTGCCTCCGCTCGAGTATTGTTGTTGGTGCTTCTTAAAGCATATGGAATTTTAATTGCACCGTGCGTACGACGATTTGATAGAAAATTGACGGGACACGCGTAATTCCTTGTAAACTAGAATAACAGCATGGGGCATTTTATGCGAATAGTACAAGTACGTAAAAAAAAATACATAATGTACATATATATATATATACATATATATATATATATATATATATACATATATGTATGTATACGTAGCAACCAGATAGGATGATATATATAAAAACACGTACACGTTATATTTTGTTTAGCAAATTGTTGCTCGCGATAATTTCATTCCTTTGGTTTCCGGTTGATAAATACTTTCGTTACGCGGGAACTCGCCTGTCGCGATAAATCACGGCAAAGTTTCGATGCGTCCCGACGAAAATTGAAAAATCGCCTAGGCGCCTAATCTGTCACGGGTAGGTACAGCCCTGAAAATTGTGGCGGCGAAGCCGCCAAGAGGCGCGCGCAGTCCACAAAATATCCAAGCGTTTCCCCGCGGCCGACATCTTCGTGCGGCCAACAGCTGTTCCGAAAGGCGAGCGAACTCCCCATCGTAATCTGGGTCATGGAAACTGCGCAAAATGGGTTGCACTTGCACCGAAATCGCGCATTTCTTCGAAAACCGGCCTATCGTCTCGAGAATTTCGTCTAATCCAATAGACTGAACCAACACGCGATACGTTGCTATCCACACAATAAAATGCCATTCGAAATATGCAAGCTCCCACGACCAGCCGTTGCATATCTGTCAACGTGCTTGACTGGTCCCCGACGAGAGAGCCGCGCGTCGATTGGCGGACGATTTTCGGGCATCGACCTACGCGCGAGCCTCGAAACGTGCTAACGATACTCCTTCAATATACACCGTGTGCACGTGAAAAAATCACGTTCTACCGTCCAGCCCTTTATTAGAAATCCAGCCTCGTCGATGATCTCTTTTCTCAGATTGTTCGATATTGTTTCCAACGCGTCAAGCTGAGCCCAGCCGCTCGTTCCTGCGTTGCGCACGTAAAACGTAATCGAAATCCATTCAATATATATACGTATACCACGTGATTGATTCGGTATCTCTTTAACCTTTATTATTTGTAAATTTCCGAAAATTTATTTTCCAAATTGCGTGTTATCGCACGGTTGTGCACGCATTGTGATCGACACACGTACGTGATTAAAATTGAATAAGTATTCCGGTTAGAATAAATTCGAACATCCAGTTAATTTTGATCTGCAATCATCATCATCTTGGAGCATGTCTTTAACAGGTTGACTGAACATGGTTGTTCGTTTAGAAGCTGTTTTCTTTCATCATTTTAAAAAGTCTAAGAAAATCTATTTTGAATGATTGTTGGTCCAAAAATATTTTTGATATACAGTAAATTTAATGTGCACTAAAAATATATACTAAATTTGTTTTCAGTGTATATTCAGAATTATTTTGAATGTATCTTGCACAATGTTATTTTGTATCAACGTAATACATCTCTTAATGATACCAATATGTATCAATAAAGATGATATAAAACTGGAAAGAAACACATTTAGGATATTAAAAGTTTAATATTTAATAAAAGAAAGTAGGAGACATTTAAACAATGTTTAAGAAAGTAATTGTGGGTATATCTGGTGGAGTTGATAGTGCTGTATCAGCATTACTCCTAAAAAATAAAGGTAATTCATGTGAATGCAACATTTAGTATCGTATGTTAGTTTAATAACACAAAAGTATTAAAATTAAAAGGTTGTTGAAGGATTTAATGTCACTGGCGTATTCATGAAAAATTGGGACATTAAAGATGAGACTGGGATTTGTAAAGTCGAGGAGGATTATGAAGATGCACAATGGGTGTGCAAGAAATTAGAAATTCCTCTTGTTGAAGTCAACTTTGTAAAAGAATATTGGCACAATATCTTTTGGTACGTATGCGAATGTACGTTTGTACATTTTTCTTGAAAATTAATATATTACTTGTACTAATAGCTATTTAACAGAACAATATGAGAACGGATATACACCAAATCCTGATATTCTGTGTAACAAGTACATCAAATTTGATTATTTTTTCAACTTTGCTTGCACCAAGCTTCAGGCAGATGCTATTGCAACTGGACACTATGTGAAAACTAGTTTTGGTCCTTATCTGGAATATTTTAAGCCGGATACAAGTAAATATAATTTTTTGTTTTTATTGATTTTCTCTTTAAATGTATTAAAATCCTCTTATTCTAACCATTTTGTTAGATGTCAGCCTATTTGAAGCTATAGATAAAGGGAAAGATCAAACATTTTTCTTGTGTCAAGCACCTCAGCAAGCATTAAGATATTCTATGTTTCCCCTTGGAGATTATTTGAAAAAAGATGTTAAACAAATTGCTCGAGAAGCTGGATTAGATAAAGTTGTTTCAAAAAAGGAAAGCACAGGAATATGTTTTGTGGGGAAACGAAATTTTCAAAATTTTATATCTGAGGTAGAACATGATAAATTCAGTGTATGCTAAATAATTTTCTATTAACGACCAAATAATGATTATAGTACATACCTGACAAACCTGGAGACTTTGTAAACTTGGATGATGGTCAAGTATTGGGAAAACATAGGGGCTTTCATCATTGGACTGTTGGACAAAACATAAGAGTTGAAGGTTTACCAGCTCCATATTATGTGTACAAGAAGGATGTTGACACAAATAATATTATTGTAGTATGTAGAAAAAAATGTTAATTAATTAAAATTATAATTATTTTTTTTATTTGAATTGAATGTTTATATGTCTGTTAATGATGATGTTTATGTCATTAGGTAAGAGGAACACATCATCCTGCACTGTATTCAAATTTTATAATAACAAAAAATCCAAACTGGATATCATCAGAGCCAGAATTTAACAGCGTCTCTAGAATATTAAATTGCAATTTTCGCTTTCAACATAGAGATCCCTTGGTGCCTTGTACAGTTCACAAAAATTTAACGAATCAATTGTTAATTCATCTTAGTCGACCATTAAGAGCACTTACAGAAGGACAGGTAAAGCTTCTTGCATGTTGCTCTTTTTAGGTTTGGGTTAGGTTATATAAAATATCTAATAGTATTTAACATTTATTTTATTTATTTTAGTTTGCTGTCTTATATAATGGCGAAGAGTGTCTAGGTAGCGCTGTAATCTCATTTCGTGGACCATCGTACTACAGTCTAAAACAAGAAGTAGAAATGCATCATCAACAAAGCGATGAGATGCGAAAACAAGTTGCGAGTATATAATATTATATATAGTGTACTTTATTAGAAAAAAGTAAATTATATTTGAATATTTTAACATGGTTTTATTCATTGAATACTTTTATTTTTATACTATATTAGTTATTACTATCTCTTAATTAAAATAAACATCGTTTCAAATTTCTTTTAAGATTTCTTTTTGTCTTTATGTTAATCGATCAATCATTAATAAGTACAACAAAATCATCTTCCGTGAAATCATCAAACAAAGAAGGATCAGTGAAATCAACCTGAAGTCAGAAGTAAAAGAAATTTTTTTCCACTTATACTCGGAATCTTTGGTTAATGTGTCTCGTTATCGAAAAAATGACGAAATAACATCATTCTAGTGATTCAATTGCAGACTTTATCAATCATATCTCCTCTTTCAAACTTTATACATTCGTCAACGCCCGCGAGCAAGCGCGATGATGACCGCCGAAGAAAACGAAATTTATGGCTGTAACATAGTATATTGGAATTTTACGTCAAACCACGAAGATTGTATCAATAGAAGGAAGCCACAAATTTACAGTGAGTTCATTTACAGCAAGAAAAATCTTCTACAATGTAATTTCTTTTCTAAAATAATCGATATCAATCGGATCGGTGCTACGTTAAATATTCCTTGGGTCATAAGTCCATGGAAATTGAATTTTAAATTGGAAAAAGAACGAACTAACGGAAAAGCAAAGAAAAGCTTAGCAGCTGACGATTGACTTTCAACATTTGCATCGAAAAATACTCTTTTTTACCGGACAAAGACTCAGCGTCTTCTCTACCATGCTTGAACAAATCTCGGAACTATTTTCGCAAAAAGGAGCTTGAAAATGCGTTTGACGCGGTGGAACGACAATTGGCGCGGTGTGCAACGAAGGAAAAATCGGAACTACCGGTCGCTCCGTTCGTCTTTTGAAGTTCCTACGTTCATCTTAAAATGGCAATCAGTGCTGGCGATGAGAAAAGACTTAATAACGGCCAGGTCACGTGTAGAATGTAAAACAGCGCGACGCGTTATTGAACGATAACTGCAAGTTATTAGGGTCGATTGACGAGTAACTGGACGTAAGGAGCGCGTAAAATGCCTCTCGCGGTGTGCGTGCACGTACAGAGCTCCGCCTCGATTGTTGTTCCCATCGCCATTGGCGTTGACCGCCGACGTTACATATGAAAATTACTCCCCGTACAAATGTCGCTAGGACTAATTTGACCGTACGCGCGATATTACATTAACATTCGTGCCGAGATCGGAGCTTCACAATAGCTTCAGTCGGTCCTCTTCTTCACGGGCGCACGGTGCGCGCACCATCGTTGAAAACGGTGCTCCCGATTTCGATCGAAGCTCTGTCCTTGATCCGAGTGTTATCGCCATTCGACCAAACTACAAAGTACCAAAAAAAAAACACAAAGTCAAAGAAATGTAAAATCGCAAGGGAACTGGAAAGGAGTCGCAGCGAGTCAAGGACAAAGTAGATTTAATCTTGCCTGCGAAACGAGCGATACGCGAGTGTGATTTGTGACTGCGCAACGTGTTACGATGAAATAGAATAGAATAGGTAAACTGACTGGACTGAGAAGAAGGGGTCGGCTTGCTTTCAGACAAGATGAGGAGCGCAAGTAGCTTGGATCAGTACAACGACGATGACTTCTTCAGCGGTGGCCCTTGTCCTTCGTGTCGGTTAGCCATCAACAAGGAAACCGGTCGACTCAAGTTCGTAAGACGTCCAAACTTAGCTAGTGATTATCTCAAAGCATCGGCCAATCAGTTAGTATCGGAAATTGGAAATTACTGTTTGGGACCGCAGGTGGTGCATGGGAGGAAACGACACTTGGCGCTTCCGAGTGAAACTGATGCTCCTGATCCCAGCCGTGTTGCTGCCGATTACTATCATTTTCATCGCTTTGTCCCGGTCGCAGGTGATCGGCAAGACTCCTTATCACCGTACGTATTTGGTCCAGACGAGAAGGCAAGACGAGAGAACCGAGGAGACCTTACCGCGTAAGTCTATTGCCACAGAACATACAACGACACACCCGTGAAACGAACTTGATATTAACGACGTCCGGTTCGTTGGCTGCTCGCTTTGAAGAGAGATTTGAATAGCGGAATAAAGTGACAGATGCATGGCTCGTGATTTATCGATTATTGTACGGGGAAAAATAATTCGAACGATGTCTTGCAATGAGGATCGTAACGGTGTAGTTGAGACTTCTTGCAAGTCGTTACTGTAACTTGTTCCAAGGCTGCTCGCGTACAGGAAGGATATTTACATTTAATCGTTTTCCTGTCCTGTCATTACGGACGTCTCAGTCGGTCCGTTCTAAGATTTCAAACATGTACATATATTGGTAATGAACTCTTGTCACAGTAGACGATGGACATAGGCTTATAATAGTTGAATATAGGTCACGATGACAGGCAGACGATTGGACTTTTGCAAATTAAAGGCCCCGGTGTCTTGTCCGACGATGCCTAAATAAACAGAGAGAGAAAAAAAAAAGATCCTTAGAAATATTATAAAAGTTTCGAGAATATAAGTAAAAAATAAGAATATGAAATGAAAGAAAGGAGAAGCGTGTTATTTGTAGAAATTGTTAGCAGCGACCAGTCGCAGCGAGACTGAGCGGGCCGGTGAAGAAGAGGAAGAAGACAGAATCTTAGTACCTGGAATGAAAACTAGCTACGTGCCAGTGGATGATCTACACTCGTCACGACAGCTCGAACGACGCAAGAGAGACCTGGACGGGGTATTTTATCCAAAACAAGCAAATTCAAAGCGACTCTAACCGACACCGTATTTCCTTCTCGGCTTCTTGTTTCTTCTTCTTTGTCCTTTTATTATTATTTTTTTTCCCCCATCTTTAACACACACGCGCGCGCACACGAGAAAAGACAAAAATCGATCCGTCCGCCTTTTTTTGAATCTACGATCATTGGCTTCGAACGAACAATACGACCAATTGGCGAAAAATAGTCCCGAAGAGAGTGCGAACAATCGTTTTCAGGATAGTCGGGCGTCCTCCTCACCTGACACAGCCGCGTCCTCTACGACATTATGTTCGAATCGGCGCGATACGAGGATAGCAGATTGGGAAACGGGCAACGATCTGCTCAGATCTGATGCTGATATCGAGAATCGCGAGGCGCTGGACGAGCGAAAACGAACACGTGTGAGCGATGATCTGAGTCTTTTTAGTAACAATGGTCCTTTCTCGTATCCTTTCGCCCGGATTTGCAATCCTTTGCAATAGAAAAAAAGAAAGAGACATATGTGAAATGGAAAAAGACTGCAAAGGGGTTGTTCCATTGTAAAAGGACCAATGAGAATTAGTAGTCAGACGATTGTGTATAATATTGCTGAATTATGAAATTCTCGCGAGCCTTGCAACGAATTGTAGCAAAGGTATCTTTCGATAATAACTTAAGCGAGAAACGTTCCAGAAGAGAACGAGCCAAACTCGGATAACGAGTGTCGTGTGCAGCGACGTTAATTAGAGTTAATCAACATTAAATTAGCGTTACTGTTGTACTGTATAAATATCGATCGTCTCACTGCCAATCATCTCGTTCCGTGCAAGGTCAATTAAATTTGACGTGTCTTTACTTCATGGCCGAAACAACTCTGAAATAAAAAAAAGAAAAAAAGCCACGATGCCTATTATGTACACGAATATTGATTAACCTCTTAGCTGTTAGGATATTGCCCTGTCTTCTCAAAAAAAAAAACAAAACCCTCATTTTTGCATGAATGTTCCGATGCAGGATCAATGGATAAACTATAACGTCGAGAAAGTAGACGATCAGAATTCCGACGAAGATCTGTACAACTACTTGGACGATTACTACACCGAGGTGGACGCTGACGAGGTGAAAGAGAACTCTGAAACAATACAGAGCAACGACCATCAAGAGTAATTGTTGAAAGAAAAATGTCGGCGAACTGCGAGAATTGTGAAGATACGAAGATTTCCTCCGTTTCTTCCTCAGATACGGCGAGGAGCGCGCTCGCGACACGCGTAAGAACGAGGAACTCCGCGCCAAGTACGACAACATCGAGGAACCACCTCAGGACGAATCGGACGAGGGTGAACAGGGTGGAAGACACTCGATCTCCATCGACGATACCGACACCAGTTTGCCAATTGCCGACGACGACGACGACGACGACAACGACGACAACGACGACGACGACGCTGGCGCCGATTTCCACGCGTTTTGGAAAGGCGAGGGGAACGCGCGGGCCATCAGAGAGGCTCAAGGTACACTTTTGCGACGTTCTCCCTTTAATCACCTCTGCGTAATTGCCGCTCATACGCTTTTTAAGAAACAGATATTCGCCGCAGCAAAAATCATGCTCAAGTACATGGACAGGGGCGCTGATCCCTGCGAGGACTTCTATCAGTTTGCCTGTGGCAATTGGGCGAGGCACAACCCTATCCCGAAAGACAAGGCTGCCTACGATACCTTCGAAATGATCAGGGAATCGTTGGACTCTGTGCTGAAAGAGCTACTCGAAGATCCTATACCGAAGGGGCTGGACACGGACGACGCGACAGTCAAGGCCAAATATCTGTTTCAAAGTTGCATGAACTACGGTGAATTGTGTTTTTTTATTTTTCTTTTCTCTTTTTCGAATTTCGCTCTGTTGCACGGAGATGGCCGCGAGTTGGTTGTCAATTTTTTTTAACACGATACATGTGGCTAGAGATCTTGGAGCAACGCATGGAACGACCGCTCATACAGCTTCTGGACGAGCTCGGTGGATGGCCTATATTGAGACCCGACTGGGACCCAGAGAAGTTCGACTGGCTCCTTCTGGTTGCGCAATTGAGGCTTTACAACAATGATATTCTTATTTCGGAGTGGGTCGCACCGGACATCAAGAACAGCGATCAGTACGTAATACAGGTGGGAATTCTGAATTTCTCAAGGTCTCGTGAAACTATCGTCTACTATCCCGAGAATCCCTTTGCAATTTTGCAAAAATAAAAAAAAGAAAAAATGTTAAATTTAAGGAGAGTTCATTCATTACAGTTTGATCAGACGTCGCTGGGTCTACCAACGAGAGACTATTTCCTCCAGCCGTCGAATACGATTTATCTTAAGGCTTACAAGAATTACTTGATAAAGATTTCCACTCTCTTGGGCGCGTCCCTGCAAAACGCCACCACAGACGCTGACGAACTGATCGAATTCGAAACGAAACTCGCCAAGGTAAGCCGATACTAATTTCACAGTGATCTTCTCCGCTGCTCGATGACCGATTTTCGCATTCCCGCAGATCACGTCTTCCCCGGACGAGAGAAGAAACGTTTCAGAACTATATCAAAGAATGAGTATCGGAGAACTGAGGGCTCTGGTGCCGCAAATTAATTGGCACCGGTATTTAACGATCGTTCTGGCGCGACCGACGAACGTTTCCGAGCCGGTCGTTGTCTACGCGTTGCAGTATATTCAAGATTTAGTGAACTTGCTTTCGAAGACTAGTCCACGGTAGAGTATTTCAATGACAAAGGACGGACGCTGTTTTCGCAAATTTAACGTTCAAATGATTTTTCGTGCGTGTCTTGTTTGCAGGACTGTCGCGAATTATCTTCTCTGGCGATTCGTCAGGCACAGAGTGAACAACCTAGACGATCGGTTTCAAGAAGCGAAGCAAAAGTTTTATTACATTCTGTTCGGAAGGGAACAAGCGCCGTCCAGATGGAAAAATTGCGTGGCACAAGTGAACTCCAACATGGGCATGGCTGTGGGCTCCATGTTCGTGAAGAAATACTTCGACGAAAAAAGCAAAAACGACGTAAAAAAGTTCTTTCTCTCTTTCCCTCGTTTGTAGTCAGTAAACATTCAACAATTTCCAAAATTCAGCTTTCTATAACGCATCGTAGACACTGGCTATGACTCGCGAGATACAACGATCCTTCAGGGAGCTTCTGAATCAAACAATCTGGATCGACGACGAAACGAAAGAATTGGCTACGGAGAAAGTGAACGCGATGCTGTTGAGGATCGGCTATCCCGATTTCATTCTACAACCTCAACTGCTGAACGAACGTTACAAGGATGTAAGAATCGCCCAGCTACCTCTTCCCCTTTGAGACCAAACGACGTAATGGAGACAAACATACCTAAATTCTGGTGACACTCGCAGGTCGTGATCCGTCCAGATAAGTACTTCGAGAACACGTTGAACATCTTGCAACATTTGACCAGGGTAGAGCAGGATCGACTTGGCAGCCCTGTCAACAAGACCCTCTGGAACACTGCGCCTGCAGTGGTCAATGCTTATTATAGTCGCAGCAAGAATAGGATAAGTCAGTATCGTTTCTTTTATATCGGGCTAAAAAAAGAAAGAGAGAAAAAGAAGAAAGAAAAAAAAAAAAAAAAACGAAACGAAATAGAATCTAGAAACTTTGCTAGAAACGTTGTACTTAATTTTTCTTCTCTTCTGCGTCAGATAGAAAGGAAAATTGACGACTGATCGTTGAATTACTTTCCATCCTCAGTGTTTCCAGCCGGAATACTACAGCCGCCCTTTTATCACAGATACTTTCCTCGGAGTCTGAATTACGGCGGGATCGGCGTTGTGATCGGCCACGAGATCACCCACGGCTTCGACGATAAAGGTCGACTGTTCGATAAGGATGGAAATCTACATAGATGGTGGAAAGACGAGGCTATTTACGGCTTTCACGAACGAGCTCAGTGCCTTATCGGTAATCGACGAGACATAGACTCCCTTTCAACTTTTGTTCACCGACACGAAAACTGTTTAATGTTTCAGACCAGTACAGTCATTATATCGTGAGCGAGGTTGGAATGCAGATTGATGGAATGAATACACAGGGCGAGAATATCGCGGACAATGGCGGCATTAAACAGGCTTTCCGAGTGAGCAATTTCATAAACTGCTAAATTTCTTTTTTTAACACGTCCTTCTTTTTCCTCCGTCGTTTCTGGTTTTCATCCTCCATTCTCCGTTTCTTATTTCAACAACGCGGGAAGAAGACTTTTAACGTTTCAGTAGTTCGACCTGGAAAATACGGTAATGTTAATGACGGCGAGAAACATTTTGCTTCCTATTCTTTTTTTCTAATCGATCACTGATCGAAAGATTGTCAACAATTGTAAGTGATATTGAAGAGTCTCTCGTAAACTATTCGATCTTTTTTGGTTTTCAGGCTTACGAAAGATGGTTACGAACGAACGGAGACGCCGACGAAACTCTGCCGGGCTTGAACGCGAGCGGAAAGCAATTGTTCTTTCTCAATTTCGCGCAGGTGTGGTGCGGCTCGATGAGGCCGGAAGCTACCAGGAACAAGCTGAAAACCGCCGTCCATTCACCTGGCAAGTTTCGTGTGATCGGCACATTGTCGAATTCGGAAGACTTTGCAGAAGTATTTCATTGCCCGCTAGGTGCACCTATGAACCCAGTTAACAAATGCTCCGTTTGGTGATCGAATAGTGTGCTTGTTCTCTTCTGCCAAATTCACCGTCGTCGTCGTCGTGTCGATCGTTGTGATCGAGTAAATCAATCGAAGCCAACGTGATCGAGAAAACGGGAAAAACGAAACGAGTGGTTTCGTTGCTCGATTAAGCGAAGCAACGCGATGCTTAAAATGACGTAGACGCAATCGTTGAAATTAATCTTTGCATTTCGAAGGATAATCGTCAAATTTCGTTAAAATTCTAACGAAAACCATAGTTCTATGCTTTCGATGATAGGTGACGCTGTAGACTGTAAGATTTACTTTGAGATTAGCATATCAAAGAGATAGGATGAAAGAAATGATGAAAACAGTCATCATTTCGAGTAGTTGTAAGTTATTTGTTTTAACGATTTACGGGCATGCAGCTAGACTAACTAAAAATATTTCGTGTAGCAATAAACAAGAGGATTCTTTCGCGTGATACTGCGACTTGACGATCCATAAGTATCGCATAAGAGAAGTATCCTCCGTAGATGTTTCAAACAGCTGCGCTGTTCAGTCGCGTTAAGAACGAAATTGTAAGACAAAAACCAAAGACAATAATAATTTCAGACAGTCATAAAAATCTTTACAATCTATTTCCCTGTATATCCACACACTACTACATGTATTGAATTCTTTCGTCGTTCTATTTTAGCTTACGCTTCTTGTAGATCTTTACCCGATCTTACGGAATAATCTGAGCCGCTGTAATCATTCGTTACATCCACGTGATCGTACATACTATGGGATATAAACTCGTTCACGTTACATCTTTTATTCTTCCTTCTTTCTTTCCTTTTCTTTTCTTTTCTTTCCTCGCAACAAATTCTTCGCGAAAGAAAAAACGGGAGCGTTGAGAGAAGATAATCTCGTCTCAACGTTCATAGTCTGTCACACCAGTCTCGCAACGTTTCCACGAAACACACACATTGAAGAGGTCGTTTATTATTTTGTCGATCTGGCGAATGCGCCGCTTCCTTTTCCTCCGTTCTCTAGCTTTTTTTTCTTTCTTTCTTTCTTTTTTACAAATCTCTTAGTCTCACGTAATATAATAAATAGTGTAAAAATCGTTGAACATCGCAAATAGGGTATCGATGACACGCCGTGTACACGGCCGTAGTCTTAATAAGAAAGTCCGCAGATATTTGTCTCGCAAAGGGATAAAAAATACAAGGAATCAACTATCTGTCTGTAAATGCAATATCGATTGACTATCTTGTTGCCTTGTACTATGGTACTCTAAATGACATTGAAATACCTCAATCGGAATAACATGTTCGAACGTGTCTGAATAAATAAACTTTCATTCGATTCTTATTGACTGGTCGAGGCATACTTCCTTCCCTTCCATTTCCCTGTCGCCATGTTCATTTTTATTCGTGATTCTTACAGTGAGAGGGGAGAAGATCCGTGCTAGCACACGACAGTGCAGTTATCATCATCGTCATCACACTTACTCGTACAAACTTGCACGCAGAACCGGGGAATGAGAGAATGTTCCATCAATTATACAATCCTATCTTTACAATTTATTTACGTATTGCCTTTCCCTTAACGAGTAATTGGTTGAAGTGGCATGGAAAAATAAAATTGTACATACATCGAGTTCTCAATTATTTAGTATAAAGCAAATTCAACAAAGTACGGCATTCGTTTGAATTAGAAGGACAATTTCTGAAATTACGGTCGCCTATGTTTGAAATAACTTGCAGGCTGTTCGATTGAATCAACACGAAAACTGGAATGGAATATTTTTTTTCATTCACAAAGATCGATAAAAAGTGTTATCGGTGTTGTTTATAGTTCAAGCGTTACAATTTTTCCTTTTTCTTCTTTTTTTCGTCTAAGCGTAAAATTCAAGAGTGAAACGATAATACAATTACAACAACTGTATAATATGCTTCATACTAATTAATTTTCATTGCATGAATTAACACTTGATTACAGACGTATTTGCAGTCATAAGTTGTACTAATAAATCAGGAATTTTGCGAATATCATCTCGTATTTTACTGACACATTTTGCTCCTCTCTTCTTTTCTTCTTTTCGATACACGCAAAATCTTCGTTTCGATTTCGCATTTCGTAAATTTGATGTTCATATACCCGTATAATTAAAAATACAGCCATATCATAACATTATAATCATTATTTGGGAAAAAAAGAAGAAGCAAAAAAGCAGATCAGTTTAAAAAAAAATATGAAACTTCTACTTTTTAAAGACTAAAATGTTTTTACAGTCCAATCTAGGAAATCTTTTAAACTGATAGTCGAGATAAAAAGATATATAGTGAAAATAATAGATAAAAGAATCGTCGCGATTATTTATCCGAGATAAAAAAAGAAAAATAAAAAACGAAACATAGGAATATTATCGATAAAACATATATATATATATAGATTTAACGAGGATTATTTTTTTTTTTTTTTTTTTCAATCTACATGCACCCTGCGTTAAAAAAGCACGCTTTTTCGCCATCGTTTCTTTTTCTTCTCTCGAAATTTATATATAGTGTCGCGTTATACACATTCTCGGGTGATATTAAATACCACATGGAAATTCGATGGCCTTAAATCTATCTTCTCCTTTTATGTATAGCCATTACAAATTATATATATATATATATTTATATACGATAGTTTAGATTCTTTATTTTCTATGACGCTTTATCAAAATTCGTCTATTAAATATATATATATATATATATAAATATATATATGTCTCGCGTTCGCTATTTCCGTCCACCTAATTCAAGGTCAAGTGGAAATACACCTGAATTTCCATTTTTCAACTCCTATTACCACCATTACGTATACGTATTGCATTAACAAGTATCTTCACTTGTGCAGAAACTGGTACTCCAAAATATCTTCCTCATCTGCAAAACAGAAACGTGCGTCTTATGTCATAAGCTTCGTGGAGAATCGTTTTTTTCAGCTGCACTAAAAGGACATACTATTGGCGTGTCTGGGAATATTTAGACGAATAATCTAAACGAAAGAACGATGAAAATAAGAAATATGTAAGATATGTACAGACACAAGAAAAGATTACCAATGTCTGCCCTGCATTTGCATGTAATTTATATGCAAGAGTAATTTGTTGCAAACTACATGACAATATATACGAGACAAGTGTTCTACTACTAGATAGGTGGTGGTAGACGCATTTTTGTTATAAATACTCGTACGATGCTAAATATATTCGAACAAGCATTGGAGTGCAAGAATCATCAAGACAAGATCGAAGATGCACGGTCATTGTATTTTTATTATAGAAGAGCGAGCAAAGAGTTCCTTTAACGTAGCTGTAAAAGTAAGGGAGTACTTTTGCCGAAACGAAATGAAACGAAGCGAGAAAGGAAAAAAAAGGGGGAGGGGGGAGGACTCGATGATAAAAGTTAAGTAAAAACGGAGGATTAATTTTCAAATATGGATTACTTTCTAACGTTTTGAAATTCAAATGAAGAAGCGAAGATATACGGAAAGAAAGGAATCAACGGTGGGTCACTCGACAAGTGACAAAATAAAATCACACTCACAGATATTGTCTCTGCTATTGTTGTCCAAATCGCTAGTCAGTGTACGAGTTTCCTCGTGCATACGCCGCTCTGCATCAATCGCCAGCGCAGCACAAGGCACAAAAATGACTCGATTACGTCTTTGACATGGTGTAATCCACATGCGCGCAACATTAAGTTGCAAAGGGGAATTGAGTCGTTTTGTTAGACAGAAAGCAGCACGTCCTTTTAGAGCGGCACAATAAATAGAAAATAAAATAAACCAAGTTTGAAGTATGCCCGCGAGTCGCAAAATTTGTATTTTCACGGATTTTTTTTTTTTTCTTTCTTTCTTTTTCCCCACTCCTGGCATGGACTTTAAATTACAGAAGTAATAAACGGAGCTTATCGTGACACTGCAAATACTAATTTTGCGCTTCTCAAACATACTGTACAACCTGTCTGCAACATAAAATATGTATATATTTTACAGAATAATATATAATGATTGGTATCATAATGATATTGATAAATCAGTTTTCGTAAGCTACCTTCTTAAATATCGAATTACATAATCATTTGCAGTAAAATGAAAACGTCCGTTGAAATTAATGATTAAATGCCAGTGCGCAATTTTCCAATGAAATCTTTGCATTGTACAATCTATGCGTTATATGTTTATCAAACCGGTAGAAAAATTTCTTGCAATGCGTAATAACGTTATAGTATTCTCTACGAGAGACAGTATAAAAGATGCCTATTTGTCGATAATTGATAAGAAAAGGGGCGCAAATGAAAAAGGCTTTTGTTCGTTATTTTTGGAAAATTGCACGATTAGACAATGAAGTTTTCAAACATGGTTGCATGTTATGTAAAAAGATATCGATAATATTCTCTACAATATATGTTTTAATATTTTATAAATATTAAGGGAGCAATGTAAATATAAAAAGTAGTAAAATCGATAGAAAAGAAATTATTAGAAAAAAATTGCTTCTTTCTTCGTTTCATTATGAAATGTTTGTTAGGAAGAAACACTACACCATATTTGAAATCATTCTCATAGTGTCACGACGCCAATGCATTTATGTGCGTCGAATGCATGTATTTTCTAGCGGCATTTTATAAAAAGAACGTTATTTAGATACAAAGTGATATGCTAAATAAAAATTTATATAATAATAACGCAACGGCAAGACGCAATTAAATGTAACGAACATCTGTTGAAATTAAATAAGCTTGTGTGCGCGTGTACGTGTACGTGTGTGTATGTGTGTGCGCGCGAGATGCAAAGGATAATTCGTAATAATTCGTAAGATAAGATGACATCAATGAACATAAACATTAAAGAAATGCATACATCTGGAAAGCTCGTATATATAAATTATATGTCGCAGTCTCCTCAGTACTTGCTAACATTGATAAGATGGCACATTTAATATGAGCATAATTCGATCTATTTACATATTGTCGAACCTGTGATTGAATACCACATAACATAATTTTAAACAATTTTTTTTCTCTTGTTCATCATCAGATAACTCGAATTAATAGGAATACAATAAAAATTTGTCCTTCACGCACGGACAATGTTAATTTAAATGATTCACCAATAATTGCCCAAATATACAATAACGATCGTACTGCATTTTTTTTTTTTTTTGTACATGCATATACATATGCCTTTCTCTCATTTTTGTTTCGTTTTTATTTTTAAGCGGATTAGTCATAAAGAACGTGTTTGCAAAGCAATAATTAGTGAACCTTTAAACATTTATACGAAACAATATCCTCTCGATTTTAAAGAAATAGCTGCCCCATTGTCGTAGACAATCCTAGAACGCAAGCAATGGAAAAATATTAATAAAAAAATACGTACCTTTTCTTTTTTTTTTTTTAATAAAATAAGTATAATTTACATGCATTACGTAGCGAATTATTGCAATGTTCATTACGTAAATTCTTCGACATAAACTGTGTTATTTACATAACCATGCTTGTGCTCTACTTCATGTGCGATCGTGCTTTACATCAACAAATACACCGTAATATATTTATAGTAAAGCGTGCAGTATAGTGTATGTATAATAATAATAATAATAATCATAATAATAATAATAATAATAATAAAAAATTATCGGTATTAAATACTGAATTCTCGTACACAATAATTGTACTAGTTTCGTTATTGCTATAGTTATATGTATGCTAAATTTCAACACAGCAGTTGCATATCTCATGCACAAAATTGGAAATGTACTTGTTTTTTCTCTCTCTTTTAGCAAAGCTTAATAACACGATTTCATTTTTATTTCGTATATACGATTTGTCTTATATAAAAATTAAGTTATATCTGACGGGGATTTTATTACAGATATAATTATTTATAACGTAAATGTAAATCTTTTAATTCGTACTGACCCAATAATAAAAATAAAAAGGAATAGTAAATGAATTATAATCAACGACTACCATATCTAACAAAAATTCTAAACATGATTCAAACTTGAAGAAATTGTATTATTGTTATGACATAAAAAATACCTGTTTTACTCTTTGTTGAATTTAAATCTTACATTCTGATGTAACTTATTTGAAGCACATTAGTGTATATAGATTTACACATGTTACATGCAAATATTTCAATGAATATAAAGTACATTTAATAGAGATGAACTTTCAGAAATATCATTACTGTCAAGTACATAATATGAAGTGGAATGCAAAGTTGAGATGACACATACGAACAAATTGTTAAAAACTTCAAATACGAATTATATAAACCTGGAAATAAATTGAATAGGGCAGCGAATAAATACTTTGAAATATAATATAAGATTGATAGCGTACGTGAATTACTTAGAATGTGTAGTTTTTGTTAGTGTTATTATAAAGAAATATTTAAAAATGCATCTAACATTCCTGTGAATTTGTAGGATTTTATTTAATCAGGTGAATAAAATGTTTCAAAGTATTCATTCGGAAATATTCAATTATATATTGCTCTTTTCTCTAAATTTATAACTCATCTATTTACAACACCGGCATCTACATAACATCAACAAAGAATTCACAAGGATTTCCCATCGCAATGCGAAATGACTGTCTACTACCAGATAAGTCTTGCTGGTTCTGTTGATTTCCTGAACCAGTTCCTGTCTGCACAGATTGTTCAGAACCACTGGAACGACTGCGACTACCGTTAGATCTCTTTCCATTTGAACCATTCCCATTGCCAGAATTCTTACTTGGCATAGTTGGCACTGATGGAATATGCAATTCAGATTCAGATGCTGAAGAACAGGACTTCAAATCATGTATAGGTTCTTTGCAAATGTGTTCACTACCTGCGCTACTGCCGCCTGATAAAATATATTACTTTGAAATACATACTGTATACATATTACGCTAATCGTTCATATAACTGCGATCCTCACCTGAACCACTATGAACACTTTCTTCTCGATGGTAACCATATACAGTTGGTTCGTTAGTGAAATTAAATGGCATTGGACTGTAACCAGTTGCAGAATGAGGTGCATATGTTCCTGAATAAGGCATATCCCAGGCATTCGGCGGAGGTAATGGTCCGACTGTATCGCAATCTAGTTTCATGCTACTCATAGCTGAACACAAGTCACCAAATATATAATAACATTGTTCAGAAAATGTTATCTTGTTCACCGTATGCCTAATGAAGCCGGCCTTTAGCATAAGAGATGCGTATTTTCTTGCATCGCGTCGATCAATAAATCCCTCTACGTGATTATTAAGCCAATCCACAACATCTGCTCCAATAAATGCACTTGGTATTATTATTTTAAGCCACATACGATCACGGATTTCCAACCCTGAGTCAGGTCGAGCCATTGCTCGTACTACTGTCGGCATATCGGTATTCACCGTAAGATGAAGTTCTTCCAATGGTCCTAATCAAAATGAATTTTTTTAAATGACTCGAGTATTTGAGCTTCTTCAAGTCGATCTAAATATAAAATTCATTTAACTCTTTTTTTAAACTCACGTTCCGTATCTGGCAGTGTGCTTGCAAGACTGCTCGATGTTGAAGTTAATGTTGTGGCGCTTGGCGGACGCGGAGGAAAACCTTCACCTCTTATAGCAGCTGTATGGGCTACCCAAGCGCCGGGATCTATAGGCCGTACAGGTTCTGTACGCGGTATTGTGAAATAACCTTTTGGATTTGGATCCCAGCATTTTGCAACAACTAATTTGATTGGTCTAAAAATTACATTCATAGTCGCGTTATAAATTTGTAATTCGTTTATTAAAAGTTTCATATACTGCTATTTTAAACATACCCTGGTTTTTGAACTACTTCACGCAATACTTTAACTGCCTCATCATTAGACATATTTTCAAAATTAATGTCATTTACTTGAAGAATCATGTCACCAGGTTCTATTCGGCCATCTAGAGCAACTGCTCCCCTGTACAATTAAAATTGTGACTACTAAGCGAAAAAAAACTATTACAAAAATACTAACTTTATTTTGTTGAACACTCTGTTCTAACAATTCATTGTACAGAGCCATATGTGCTATATAATCTAAAATTCATTCAAATTGGACATATACCCTTTCATTATTGAACCAACATAGATTCCACCATCTCCACCTTTGTTACTTTGACCAACAATACTAATCCCAAGGAAATTGACAGTATCCATATTCAATGAAACTGTTATGATGTTCAAGGACATTGTGCTGTCTGTGATACTGCTAAAGGATGATGTTCTAGACATAGGTGGCAATCTATGACGCCTTCTTCTTTGTGGTCTACGCCGCTCTAACATTCAAATACATCAAATTTACATTTTGGCCTAAATCTTAGATTTATCTCATTTTTCTCCTTGCAAGGTATATTTACCTAAAGTTGCTCTGTCAACTGTACTACTCATATTGGTATGTCTGCCAGTTGTTGATGTTATACGGCTACTAGCATCATCGTCTGACTCTAAAAATGTTGTTGTTTCTAAATCTGAACTTAAAATAGAGGCAGTCTCATAACCATGGCCTGATCTATGTTTTGAATGGCCATTTATACGAAGTCCTGAATTGTAAAACACATAATGATAATATATGAATCTTTACTATTTCTACAAAGGCATTACTGAATAATGTCAGAAACTAGAGATAAATTCTCACACAATTAATAACCTACCATTGTATTTATTGTATTTCTCATATTTATCTGAATGATGTCTTGAACTTTTGTGCAAATGATGCCCTTGTCGACTACTTGTAATACTTTCGGTTTCAGTTAGAGTGTCATCATGTGACAATGGGGGTGGGCCACGATTTGTGTGACCAGGTGTCACATGATCAACACGATCATGTTTTGCCTCACTGTGTGCTACTGAATCTGTGCACTGTGATGCACCATCTGATACATTGCTGCCTTCAGCAGATACCAGCTATTAATAAATTGATTTTCTCATTAAAAACTTTATATTCCATTAAACTTTGAGATAGACAAATGAAAAATTTCTTCTTACTACAATCCTATAAATATTTCTCTACTTTTATAGTGTATTAAATTAAAGTACACATGCTTTCAGAATAAAATTTTGTTCATACTCTGTGAATATAGAAATGACTACACAAAACATACATCAATAATCTTTTAACTATTAATAATTCTAGAAATTAATATTTACAGCTAAAGTATGTATTTCAACATACATTATAAAGATGAATTATTTTTTGCTCGAAATAGATCCTTGCTCATTATAAATCTTAAAAAAAATTGAAGTATAAACTTTACTAATTATAGAATTCATATGACAATCTTACCCATGAAACAACACGTCCATTAAAACAGGGAAGATGGGCATCATCATCTACAATTTCTTCTTTCACCACACTATTAAGGAAACAAGATGTTTTAATACGATTATTTGTTTTATAAAAGAAACATAGTTATAAAATTATAAACAATTATAAAAATTTATTAAAAAAGCTAACTATTACAAATGTTATAAATGAAATAAAACGAAAATAATAATGTAATAAATACTAAACGATAAATTGTGAAAAGTAATAACAATATAAAAATATATACATATTTGCGTTAATTAATACATGTCATTTAAAATAAAAATATAATATATCAATTCGTATATATATTTCGATTAAACTTCAGCATTGATATTCGGCGGCGCTATTCTTTATTAAACTTCTTTTGCGCGATATTTATTACATAATAGTAATTGATAAATATAAACGATTTTAAGTATTGGAATCCATTGGTTCAGAAGTTATATGATTATACAAAGTTTGATAACAAAGACTGATGATAAGACAGATAAATTTTATGATTTGTAGAAATAAATAAATAAATCATTTGCCAAATTTCGCTTCGTCAATCTTACAAATAATGTAAAAGTGCGAATTAATTTATAAAATATTTGCAGCTTTCCGACGGCCGGAGAAATATATATAAGCCAGCCAATACTATCTGCATTTTTCTATTTCTTGCAATAAATTAGATAGAACAATAATTTGAGAACCAGATTTTGAAATGCTAGAACGATCCATCTTCAATGCGTGAGACACTATCCAGTCTCGCATTGACAACATAGCACACATAAGCCAAAGAAAAGTCTTATTGTTAGGGCAGTCGAGTATTTACACACAATATTTCAATATTACCAAAACTTAACAATGTACAACTCAACGAATGAATTCCAACAATGTATAACTTAACAAATAAACACTCAGAACTGTTATATTTTCGTTCCTATTTATCGAGCATCATCACACGCAAGTTTAGAAAAAAAAAAGAAAAAAAAAGAAAAAGAAAAAAGGAAAAAACGTTGCTGTAAAACGGAGTTTAGTTCGTAATTCTGAGAAGAAAAAAATACGAATCGGCTATCAAAGTTAAATATAAAGCAAAACTAACGCTGTCGAAGTGTAACTCAATCTTCGAAGCGGATACTGTTTAAATCGTAGGGCATTGACTCGAGTCGAAGATGAAAGGTAATGTCTCGCCAATCTCTGTGACAATCGTCGATCTCGTCGTTCACGATATGAATTAAAGCGTAACATTCGATGGGCATGCGTGTCGCTGATACTTACCCAAAATCATCATCCATTGATTTGAAGAAATACTTGTAATTCGGCCGATTCAAGACATTTTTGAAGTCGGCTAGAGTGACCCTTTCCGGCGAGATGGTGAGCTTCACCAGGTAAGGGGTCTCCTCGTCGTCGATGTGATATATGATCTTAGTCTCTTCCATCGTCGTGGCCTAATTAATCTACCTGCATTTATGCAATGAAACTGATTCACACCTAAAACCCACAGTGTTAACAATTCTCTTAAAACCAATATGGCGCATCACAGTTCGAGCCAAAGCCCTCGCGCGAACGACGATCGTTCGTTCATGAAGATTACAGATTTATGTGAACTCCACGGTGCGTAACATTATCACGACTGTGTGCAGCAAGTTACGAGGAATCCATTGACGTTATTCACGAGGCTCGCGCGACGCGTATTCGTTGCTTCCGACGAGCTGAATTAAACGTCAACATTCTTGTCGACATTACACACACTCACGGCGGTCGGCTCGTCACTCGACAGTACGCTCGAAGATTGGAAACGAATGAAGGTAGAAAGACAATCTCGGCTCATTTTTACACCCTTTCGTCTACTTGCTAGCTTGATCGTCAGATGGCATTGCTGCGCCATCGTCGAAAATGGCAGAAAACTTTGAAATCCATTGTATTTGCGTAGCGCTTCTACTTTTGAAATTATCGTATCTGAATTTTGATTGCTATGGTGCATAAATTTTTTTACAGATGAAAAGTTACCTAATTTTCTTCGTAAAATATTCTATAAAGAGAAAGTACGCAACTTACTAATATTTTTTATAAAAATTCAATTTGCAGGTTCGACTCGGGCATTTGTATAATTTTTGTTCTAATAAAAATTTGAATCATTATTATATTTTGTTTATTTAATAAACGATCTTTCATTCTTTCATTGTGGAAGAGTCAGTTATAGATTCTTTTGTATTTATTTTCTCGATTAAATAAGATTAATTAATTCTCCCTTACTATAATTATTTAATTATAAATTAGTTAATGCACCCCGATATGTATATTCTAACACCTTCGTTAATTCTTAAATGCTTGGCGATTCTATCGATCTTGATGAAGATTACACAACGATTACAAACGAACGATTGTTCCATTTCATTATACCAGTATAGTATGCGATCCTTGTCAACAATGTTCGCATTCGATATTCGTGCGTACAACACGATCGCGTCTTTTTAATTGCTGGGTAATTTCCACGTACGTTCACACCGCGTCATTAAACGGAATTCTATTCATTACTTTTTTGCCGGAAAACAACAAAAAGAAGATACAGCGCGACAGGCTTGGCTTTCAATTCTGTAATGCGAAGCGCCGACTTAATTATACGGTCGCGCGAGCGAAGAAAAAAAGGAATTTTAAATGAAATTAAATCGTGAATTCAAGCAAAGGATCCATAGAAACGTCCGCGTCGTGTAAACCTTGTTGTTTCAACCTTGGGATAAAGCAAATTATGCTGGGAACTGATTTCATCACGATTCAACAGTAGTTTATATTACAGACATGCAAAAAAAAAAAAAAAAAAAAAAAAAAAGAAAAAAAAAAAAAAAACAAAAAAAAAAAAAAAAAAAAAAAAAAAAAAAAAAAAAAAAAAAAAAAAAACGAAGAAGAAATGGCGAAACTATTGTCAACACAGCGATTACCATCTGAAAGGAATCTTACAAATGTTAAAACGAAAATTGAAAGTCGAAAAGTTAAAAACGTAAAATCGCACGTACATCGCGTGACGCGTTTGTGATTTGCATTAGCGTACACTCGCGTGTGTCGGACAATAGTCAAAGATGTGTATACGAAACGAGCATGGGCAGAGAGCCGCGTTCTCTCTGCTCGTTGCGCTTCGATGGCTCCGAAAAAATGCAATCTTCTGGAATGTTGAAGTTGGCACATTCGACGAATGCGCGCAACGCCAAAGAAGGCGCCGAATAACGCACGTATCGAATCGGCTAATTTGAATGATCGTACGGTACCTCGGCTCGGAAATGTCTCCCACCTTTGCGATACCGCGAATTATAAATTCACCGATGCTCGTTGAATTTCAATATCACGAGATATTGAAACTCGAACGATAAATTGTGTCATCTCTGGCCGATAGAACAGCTTTGCACGTTTTTTTTTTTGGTACTTGAAAGAATCGCAATCTGTCGATTATTCTAACCTAGATCGTATCATTAATTCCCGACTAATGGGGAAAATGTTTGAATACTCCAAGTGAAATCTGACGATACCTAAACATAACGACAGTGTCTATCTGTGATTGTGAGCCTGTCGTTAAAATGTATTTATTATCTGACGTGCAGTCTGGATAGAACGCACAGGTAATAGCACCGTTCCAACGCGCTTCAAAGTCCACTCTTGTTTTTATTGATCCTACGAAAAACAATGATTAACATCGTAAAGAGGAATTTCTTGCTTCGACTGTATACGCCACTGTCATTTCCAATCACGACGAAATTAAACGACCTGTAAGTCGTAATAAGAGAAGCCGAGCGTGCCACATATTTTTCAAAGAATCAGCATTTTTTTTTTTTTCTTTTTCTTTTTTTTTCTTTTCTTCTCTTACGAGGAATACGTTTTATTTTTCTCTGAACTGTCGGACGATCCACGGCGAGAAGAAGAAGCGCATCGCGGTAAAATTTCCTCGACGTCGAATAAAACGACGCACCTGTTACGGAATCTGCTCGACTCTTTTTACGCTGACGATAAGAGGAATGGAAAAAAAAAAGAAAAAAAAAGAAGAAAACGATCATGGCCAGCATCGTCCGACAATGTATAACGAATGTGGAACCTTCTGCGCGGTAGATTCGTGTGCATGGAACGCGCGCGCGTGTCGTTTGAGGCACGCACCTGAGCGTGAAGAAGCGAGGGACCAACGTTAATGCACCGACGTGGCTTCCACCTGCGCTAGACGAGTCGAAATACGCTTTTCCTTCTCGGAAATCCATAGGCATAGCCCCGGGAGACCTTTCTCAGGTCGTATCCCTCGAAAAGCACGATTTCTCAATGAACGAAACGAGACTCGAAATTTTCCCACCGGAAAGAGAAGTTTCTGTTACCTGACCTTTTGGTCGATTCTCGTCGATCGTCGAACGATCGTTGAAACTTGATCGTTGGCGCGGATTCGGAACGCTGTTTCTGCGTCAAACGAAGGAAGAACTTTTAAAAGCTCTCGCGAATGAAATTATCGCGGTACGAGAGACGACATGAAGGGAAAGTGGCGTGGACATACTTGGCGACTAATTATTAATAACCGTGATGAAATTTTTCACGTCGGGCGAATAGCGCGGCGGTTCTTTTGCCCGTGAAGTTTGGTAGTAGGAAAGAGGGGCGTCGTTGAACAACGCGAGATATCGCGTTGAGATTGTTCGACGATCGATATTCCGTCGGTCTGTTTTTACGGGACATAACCATCGTACGTGTGGTGGTGGTGCACGGACTTTTTCATTGTTCCACGCGCATTATCTTTCACGTATGCGGATAATTACGCCTATGCCCAACATTCCCATCCTTGGATTAATAGGTCTCGTTTCTATAACAGAAATAGCGTCTTACGTGTTCCTTTGCGATTACTCCGGTTGTTAAGAGGCTACCTGGTCATTGCACCAGCATTATCGATCAGAGCTTCGTAATTCCGCTGTTTCGTCCCCTTTGCCCGTCATGCGAGGCACTATACACTCTGGCAATAAGATCGAGTAAATCGAAACGATGTTACGTACTCGAGGCGGCTCGAGCACTGTTCCGGAGACGCGCGCGGAGACTTCAACACGCCGAGCAAACGCATCGAGCGATCGAGTTGTTTTACGCGTCGATAATGAATATGTACACAACTGTACACATTTGTAGGAACGCGTCGTCTTCTGGAAAAAAAAAATGTTACAACGCGGAGCATCTGAACGATTATAAGAGAAAGGCGCAAAAAAAAAAATCGGTAAAATTCAGAGATGGGAATGTCTCTCAAAGTTCGTGGAATTTACACGGAAAAAAAAAAAAAAAAAAAAAAAAGAAAAGGAAAACACTCGAGCGCGTTTATTTGTAGTCTATCCTAGTGTACACGGAGGATGTAACAGTACTTCAGGTAGACGATCAGGTGTGCGGAACGGTTTGGCAGGACGGCCTCCTCCCCACCTGTCACGAATTCAATGCTACTGAGTTCATCGTTTGCGTTGATCCACGTATAAATTTGAACGAGCGACGCAGCGAGGATTACCCGCCAGAACGAACGAACGAACGAACGAACGAACGGATGGATGGATGGAAAGCCAGTGCACGTCGATCGACGAGCGTTTTATTTGCTCGCGTAGCGTAGCGTGTAACGATTGTATTTAATTGGATAAAAGTTAAAAGGATTGTTGCCCCTCCCCCGCCGCGTCTTTGGATCGCGGATTTGTAGAAATCGAGTTGGCCAAGGGCCGCGAGGCAAAAAGAGAGAGAAAAGAGAGAGAAGAGAGAGAAGAGAGTAGTAGGAAAACGACGCGCGAGAATGGCGAACATGCCCGGGGCCTTACTCACCTGCCACGACGTATCGCGCCCGCATTGTCGTTGACCGGTCGAAAGATCTGCAATCGAACTCGAGGACACCCGCACTCACGGCGTCTCTTGTTGCACATTCACTCGCGAGACATCCTCGGTCACCGCACTCTCGTCGTCTCTCGTTCCTTCGCTGGATTTTACTACCTTGATCTCAGGAGAAACGCGCACGCCTTTTGCTTTTCCACGCACTGTAGAGCGGGCACTGGTCGCTTCGCTCCTTCAGGTAAAAACCATCCACCCGCACCGAACGACGATCAACCGCCGAGAAACACACACCGAGCGAGACTGCGTCTCTTCTGGAGAACGGCCGGTTGCTATTGTGAAATCTCCCTCCACTGGATTCAAAGCACCGGCGCGCTACGGCCCTGCGTCGTTACCAACACCAGCTGGATCGCTTCTACGTCTATCTTTCTCTCGATCCCACGGCCCAGGTGCGGATCAACCGATCGTTGCTCCGTATATATTTTGAACATTGTCCCTCTACAGTTTTCTTTCGACTCAATTTCGGCATTTGATTAGTGAAAATTCGTTTCCGCGAATTTCGAATCGTTGCGATTAATACCGATGTGTAAGGATAGAGTTTTAAGTTTCTTCTCTCTTTGTTAGCACCGACAGTTGTATAAAGTATTCGTATCGAGTACGTTGTACGAGATATTCAAACGAAAATTGGAAATTTCCATAAAATGGAAAGGATCTATTTGAAAAAAATGTTCGTTCGTATTAGTACAATTATTTGTCTTGAAAAATATACAGATATTAATCTGTTCAAAGTAAAAGTATGCAGCATGATTTTTTTTTTTTTTTTATCTCGTTTGGGACATTTTCAATAGTTATGAATAAGTAGAATGGTACAGCGTGTTAATTTCTTCGTTCTTGAGAATGGAATTTAAAAAAAAATCCCTCTGCCGTGACAATGTACAAAGACACTGCCGTGACCAGGATTCGAACCTGGGTTACTACGGCCACAACGTAGGGTCCTAACCACTAGACGATCACGGCTACCAGAGGACTTGAAAAATATTTTTTTTTTATATAGTTTTGTAGAACATACAGCACTTTAATCTAAAATTTTTCTGATATATTTTGTATTATTACTTACTCTATGATCTTTAGATCATTATACAACGTATAATAATAAAAATAGAAGCAATAAATAAATAATGATGACAGTAACCAAATGTCTTTCAAAGATTATGTTGCCCTCTATGTATACAGTTCATAGTTATTATATCTTACCGACTGATGTTTTTTTAAAATTTTTATTATCTTTATTATACATTATATAATTAAAAAATAGCATTATAAAAGATTGAATGCAATTACATCTTTGCCTCTTATGATATCGTAATTTAAATAATTTAGATAATAAAGTTACAATTCTACTGTCAACGTTATAATAATTGTCAACGCGTTTGTAAGATCAAATATTATGCATTGATTTTTCAACTATAATGTGCAATATAATTCATTATTTAATATAACTATTTGTCAGAGTGTACAACGAAGAACCTGTTTTGTAACTCGTACGTTACGCAGTGGTATAATAATTAATTGTAATTACGTTGATAAGGGATAACCTGTTCGGTTATTTATTTTTGTCCCACCCTTTTGATTTCTTTACACTTCCGGTTCCGGTCTTCCGGTTTCTCTTTGACAAGTCACTTTACTTTTAAAGTTTGGCAGGTCAGTCAATTTTGCGCGCAGAAAACAAATTCGGTGTGTGTAACGAGAGAAACGGAAAGCATAAATATCGTATGGGACTCGGACGTAACGGAAAATTCTGTTAGCGTAATACGAAAGCGAGATTTCTCGCTTTTATTATCTAGTATACACGTCATGGTTGCTATGAAAATGTCAGTTCACTGGTGATTCATTTGTTCGTTAGCTGGCTTTTCTTCTGTTTTTCAGTAGAACATTCTGCTCGTTGGGCAGGTAAGCTTGTACAGATCGTTTGATTGTTAGCGGATTTGAATTATGAATAACTAACATTATTACGTTAGTGTTTATTCGTATATTTGTATACAGAGTGATGTAAAGAAGGTTATGTAGGTTAGAAAGGAGAATAAATATTCCCATTGTCAGAATGTCACGTTTATAAAAAACTCACGTGTAATGAAAATTGAAAGTGTTTTCAAATATTTAAATTTATGTTTAGGTTTATTCCTGTATTATCAAATATATATCGAACTTTTGTCGTAACGTTCAACATGATAAAGTAGTAGGAAATCATTACTTACGATCTTGTCGAAAATATTTTTCGTTCATTCATAATTAGTAACGGCAAACATGCCTTTTCTTTAATGTGCACCATATGAAAGAATAATGTTTGTAATTTATAAAAATTTTATAATTATGTAAACGCAAACTTTTGTCATTCAATGTGTTACATTTGTTATAACAGTAACAATATTGAGATTAATAACAGTGACTGGAAACATTTTTGTATTTAGAATGATGGAAGAACCATTGAGTCAAGGTGCTTCACCATCTGGCGACAGTAATTTCTCTGGAAATGGAGAGTTAAATTCCACTACTATAATGAGTATAGATGAAAGAATTTTGGATGTTAATTCAAGGCATTCTTTAAATGTTCTTAGAACACCACCAACTAAAAAAGCAAAAAGAGTGAGGTTTTTTAGAAATGGGGACAAGTTTTATACTGGTATTGTGATGGCTGTGACTCCAGAAAGATACCGCAGTTTTGATAGTTTAGCATCAGATTTAACAAGAGCTTTGATATCAAATGTGACTTTACCTAATGGTGTTCGAGCAATATATACCATGGATGGAAAGAAAGTTCAAAGTATTAACGATTTAGAGGATGGTAAATGTTATGTGGTTTCTGGACAAGGAGAAATTTTCAAGAAAGTGGAATATTCATCTACCAAAGTAAGAAGAGGCAGTTCATTGTCTGGATTACCCCAATCTCCAGCGGGTACTGGCAGGCAAATAAGTGCAATACCATTGTGTGTGAAAGCAAAAATAATCACTTTAATAAGACACGGTACGAAACCTCGTAAAGTTGTGCGTCTTTTGTTGAATAAAAGAAATGCTCCGAGCTTGGAACATGCGATGGAAGCAATTACAGATGCTGTCAAGCTAGATTCTGGAGCAGTAAGAAAGGTTTATACACTCTCAGGGCAACAAGTTACCTCGTTGGAACAATTTTTTGAAAGTGATGACATTTTTGTGGCTTATGGTCCTGAGAAATCAAATCAGGAAGATTTTGAATTAGATTTTGAAGAATCTAAGAGTGTGCAAAGCTTTAGAAGATGTCCGTGGACGTCAAAAAGACAAATTGGTCCGATGCCAAGAATGCCACGGAAATCAGGAAAAAAAGTGCTTACTACACCTCAGGTGAGGACACCAAGTCCTTCTTCATTAATATTACCACAACCACTACGTTTACACTATACAGTAGGACATGTAATCGGAGAAGGTAACTTTGCAGTTGTTAGGCACTGTTCTCATAAGTAAGTACTACAAATGATTATAAAATACCAATGGCCAAAAATAACTTAAATAATCTATCTAAAAATATGTTATAGGTCTACGGGTGCAGAATATGCAATGAAAATTGTAGATAAGTATAAATGTCAAGGTAAAGAAACAATGTGGGCAAGTGAGGTATCAATTTTACGACAAGTTTGTCACCCAAATATTATTAATTTAATCGCGGAACAAGAGACTACTGATCAACTGTTTTTAGTCATGGAGCTCGTAAAAGTATATTTGCTTACATATATTTCTGTGTTCATCTCTCAGAAATTAAAATTAAATGATAGAATATACTAAGATGCCATTATTTTAGGGTGGTGATTTGTTTGATGCTATTGCTGCAGCGACAAAATTTCCTGAGAGTAAAGCTAGTGTAATGATTCAACATTTAATATCTGCATTAGCTTATTTGCATTCACATCAAATAGTACACCGTGATGTTAAGCCTGAAAACCTATTAGTTGAAATGGATAGAAATCATGTTAGGTGTTTAAAATTATGTGACTTTGGACTTGCTCAAGTTGTAAGGGAACCTTTATACACTGTTTGCGGTACACCTACATATGTAGCACCAGAGATACTTGCAGAAACAGGATACGGTTTAAAAGTAAATGTATTTTCTAATTTAATTTATTAATTTAATTCCAGAAACATGGAAGAAGAAATAAATTCATATTATTTTAGATTGATGTATGGGCAGCTGGCGTAATACTATACATCTTACTCTGTGGTTTTCCACCATTTGCTTCACCCGACAATAAGCAGGAAGAATTATTTGAACGTATTTTAAGTGGCCAGTATGATTTTAGATCTCCATTTTGGGATACAATTTCAGACTCCGCTAAGCAATTAATCTCAAATATGCTGCAAACACAACCTGAATTGAGATTTAGTGCAGAAGACGTACTTGACCATCCATGGCTAGCGGTAAATGTCATTATATTTTATACTAGATAATTTACTTATCTTGCATGGCTTACTATTTCGTTTCTTTTTTTTAATTGAAGGTAATAAAAGAAGATCATACTAGTAGTAGCAGCGCGGTGAATTCTTCTTTTGACTATATAAATATTCAATTTTAATTATTTATAGTTCGTTGTTACTTTGCTTATTAATTATAAATTCACTGCCACGCAAAATATGCTCATCTACTATATGGCTTCGTTCTTGGTTATTTAAAAACAATGCTAGGAAGGCTTCTGTAGTGGTTTGTTGTATCTGTAGCGTGCTTTTGTTTTTTCTTTTGTCCCGCCTCTGTATATCAGCAGAGCTTTCTAGGCGATCAGACCACAGCATCAACACCTACCAACACGTCGGAGCAACAGTGGTGTGACCGTGAGCTAAAGTTTGCAATTTTTGAATTCGAGTTCTTCAAAAATCCAGTTCGAGGTGATAATTCGCAAGATGAAGTTGATGATGCCTCTAATAGTAGGACAAATGTTAGAAACAACCAGAGTGAAGTTTTATCACCAATCGAATCAAAAAGCATTGATTTATTTTATAACAAATTTCAGAAAAATTAAGTTTGCAATGAAACTGACTTTAATAACGAAAACCCAAATGATGGAGGATCTGTGTCTTGTAGTGGAGACTGTTTACAAGACGTTTATAATTTTAGTTGATCATTGAACAATCTTATAAATAATTTAAATAAAAACCAAGTTTGCTCTACCGTTTAAAACTCATTGCATGGTAAAACTTGTTTCAACAGTATTCACGAAATTGTTAATTGTCAGTGCAAATGAATAATTCAGTGTTGCTAGATAATTATTAAGATATTTCTAGAATTCAAGTCGACTGAATCTACAGATAATTCAGTTCAAAGAAGTATATCTGCTTTTAATAGAAAATGAAATTTGTTTTTATAAGAATTAATAATACTTCACGTTTATGTTAATCACTAGCATAATTTTAGAAAACATAGTTCAATAAATATAAGTAGAAACATTCATCAAAATTTAATAGTTTGTAAAAAATATTGCCTCGAGTCTTGAGAGCCAAAATATGAAAAGATTGTCAGTTTTTTAATTAATCAATAGTTTAATTAGTAATACAAGTCACGATAATAAAATATTAGATAGGTTTGCAAGTATTCAATATTACATAAGATCAAATACAAAGTTCTAAACTACAAAATCAATTAGAAATTTTGGAAATATAAGTTTTTACCATGATCAAGAACTAGACAATGACAGCGTACACGACCTACATAAAAATAGTTATGTAAATGAAATTTCACAGTAGAATCATATAGAATGTTCTTTTGTAATTAAAAAAAAGTGAGCAATAGAAATATCGTTTGAGACATTTTTAAATCACATATGGTGGTTTCCGAAAGAATTTTAATGCTTATATATTTGCAACTTTTAACAAGTGAAATGTATGTGTTAAACTGAAACATTTAAGACAATATTGAATTTCTTCTAATCTTAAGATTATAGTGATAAAATTAGGAAATGTTTTAACGATATATAGAATGCATTTATTATGAGTACAAAGTGTCGGTGGATCGTAAAAGTATTTACACGCACAAACGCATGCATATATTACTATTTTACTATGTATCATCTTACATTGATATTCAGTTTTTCTATCTTTGGCTACAGTAATATCTTTCATTTCATTTTCTATATTATCAAGTAATTCTTGACTATGTCAATAGAATTTCACATTTTTGTAAATTTGTAAATGTTAGGATTATAATATTTGGTTTTTACGATGGAATATTTAGGATGCAGGATATATATATATTCGTATGCTTCAAAAGTAAAAGTGTGTTAATAAGCCCAATTTTTCTGTACTTTGTTTTAGATTCTTTCTTAATATATGTATATAGTTATGTATATTTCTTTAAAATTCCATCGATAAATAATAAATTTCCAGTACCATTGGCTGCCACACGACCTCACGCCATGACAGAATCATCTTCTTACTGTTCGACGTAAGTTTTGTATTTCTATATACGTTCACCAGCTAGAAATGTTAAATTTTACATTCATTCATTCTCACTTCTGTGATTTTTATTCGTAATCGTAAACCGATTAAACACTTGATGTCTCACTTTCGTCGTAAGGAATTTATTGTGAACACTTTTTAAGTTGTAAACACGTTCAAACACTTTTGTGACCTATCAATGGACATCAAACTGCGCTTTATTGTAATTAAGACATTGTAAATATTGTGTATATATCATTAAATTAAATTCTAATTTTATTGATACAATCTGGAGAACTTCCCCTTTGCTTCAGTTCGACATACATATTCTGCTGATTAAAAGTTGCATTAAAAGTATATATTCGAATGTTCTCGCGAGCCAAATTGTATTTCGAGTTGCGGAGGCAGTTTACGAAAAATTAGTGAAACCTAGAAGTGACAATTACGCATGCGAGAAATATGACGTAAAGCCAACAATATGCTCCAAAATGAAATAAAAAGCTTTTCATTGTATCTCATAGTAGAGGCTTTGGAATCTCTGTTGTAACTAACGGACGATCTCTTATTTGCTTAGAAAAATCTTTTTCTACGCGCGTGTAAAACGGTAAGAGAAAGAAACGTACACGTAAGGTTAATTGGAAATCTAATGAAATCGTCGTCGTCGAACGTTGCAACATAGAGTTCAATTGCAGGAAAGATGTATAAGAAAAGAAAAGAAAAAGAAAAAAAAATCGAAGGTCAGTTGTAGATAGTATTAGCAGCTGCCAGTAGAAACAAGTTGAACAAGCAGTGTGTTCACGTTCTAAGAGATCTAACATTGTAAATTGAATTTTAAACGACATAGAAGAAAATGACGGTAATTGCATATATTTATACGAGTAAATATAAATTATACGTTATACGTGAAAAGTATCGCGGGGCTAACTCCGCTGAAGTGTCCAAAGTTCTAAGTATAATAATAATAATTATTATTATTTTAACGTAAGTGCACAAAGTCGATTTAACCAAGGACGTGATGTCATTTGTTCGTACATCTCGAGGGGCATTGATCTCGAATTTATTGCGAATCAGTAATTCAGATTTAGAACAGGTGAGCCTCACACACAAACAAGACATGCCAAATGCATTTAACTTAGTTTATTTTATATCTATTGTTACGTGTATGTAGCTCGAGTACTGAATGAAACTTATAAGCGTAGAGTATTGCTTTGTCCTTTATCAAGATGTAAGTAATTAGAGGAACACGAGATACTGTATCTGTATGATAATGCAAGGATCCTTACGACAAGTGACAGAGGGCGACGGTGCGAGATATTTGCGTAGTTTGTTGCATACGCTTGCTCAAAGTAAAGATAAATTCAACTGTTGCTAGAACTAGAAATATTTTTATAAAATATTGTCGCGCGTGGTATCGTTAAGAGCAATAAAAAAAAAGGCAAACGTGGTGATAATAATTAGAGATGAAGAAAGAGAAGGAAAAAACCTTAGGGAAACACAAATGATCGATAGAAGAGTCAGCAGAGAATTGATTCGATACGTAACGCTTTTCATACGAAATTATTTTTATAGACGAATCACGTACTGCGTGCAAACGTTTACGTGCATCTTTCTCCCTTTGTCGCTTGATGAACGTTTTAGTAGTTACCCCCCTGCAATTTCCATATTTTTTAATGGAATTATTACAATATTTACTACAACGTTGTACATGTATATATATATATATATTAAGTAAGAAGTTTATAAAATATTATTTATACATAAGTATTACTATCGCTATTCATTTCCGTAATTTGTAATTTACGCATAAAACGGATTAATTTATCAGGAGGTTTCGTACGTAGGATCGAAATTTGTATGTAAACGTAACGATCGTACTTTTCTATCATCACAATCGTAAATGTATACGCGGTATTATATAAATTATATGAATCAGCGCTGTCCACGATCGAATCTGTCCGCGTGGTTAAATTAGACAAAAAAAAAAAAAAAAAAAGAAAGAAAGAAATTGACAAATTTTAATTTTTTTCGGGAAATATTCGTATAATCGAGGTTTGTATGTTGCTTATAGTAATATCGGCTAGCATCACTGTGTACTCGTAGTGATAAATCAACCCCGCTGTGGACAGCACTGACTAGTAGGTTATAGAAATTCAAAAGTGATTTATGCCAAATATGAAATCGATTATTTATATATTATCATGTACGTGTATTTACACAGGACACACATAAACACACGATAAATCTCGTATCGATTTATCGACATCTTCGCATCTTTCATTTTCATCTTTATACATCCACGCGGCTGTAAATTGTACTCTTCTTGTTTCTGTCAGGAAAAAAAGTGAATTAAAACAGCGAACATGATAAGAAGTCTTGGAGGAATTTTGTCTCGTAGTTACCCTGAACAAAAAAAAAAAAAAAAAAAAAAAAAAAAAAAACACCACCAAGTATATTGCGAGGTGTTTGTCGGGAACTTGTCGTCGACAAATGAAATTGTGAGGTTGCAGAAGATTTCGCGTCGACGATCGCCGCGAGTGCTCCGTATCTGATGCCTCGCGGAGAGACGAGTCACTGCCGAGCGGACGTGCCGGTACGCGACGCTGACAATCAGTATAGCGAGTTCAGTAGTAGGCTCGCGCGCCTGCCGTGAGGGTGGCTGCTCGCCACCGCAGCTCTCTCTCTTTCTCTCTCTCTCTTTCTCGCCTACTTTCGCGTCTCCTCTCCAGTTTCATCCCTGACACGCTGGTTCATTTCTTTTTCACCTCAACGCGAAAACCGTCCTTTTTTACGTTCTTTGGCCATCGTCGTATTTTTTTTTTCAATGGCCAAACGAAACGAAACGAAACATATCGTAACAAGGTGTGAAATGTGAATCGGTAACAAGTGCTTGGCGGAGAGAAAAATTGATACATATCGACGACATTGTTGACAAGAGAGGAGAGTTCGTTGTTTCGTAGCGCAAATAAAGCACCGATGCTGGTGTAATCAGGTGAGATATGAAACGTGTGTGTTTTGCCAGTGTTTTCACTGATATATTTCCATTTTTTTTTTATCTCCTCAGTCAGTTTGTTGGAAGAAGCTTCTGCACAATTTTAAAGTTGTTTCGTATTGTACGTATGTACTGAAGATTTAATAACAATTGCCATCAATGTTTAAATTAAACTTTAATGCGTTTGATAAGTTTAATTCACTGTGCTTTAATTCATTGTTCCGTGGTTCTACGCTGCAAGTCGAAGTTCGATCGTAAAAACACTGTTACGCTCCGATTAGCATGCAATATCGATTAACGTTGACGCTCGCAGTATGAAATCCACCATCAGAATAACAGCGTGTACATTTTCGAACGTAAATTTCTTCGAATTTTTTATATATTATATCACAGTTTGGCAGATCAGAGATTTTTCCATGTAAGAAACAATAATTTTCGGCCAACTTCAGAGAAACGAAAGACAATATTGAGAACACTATCGTGTGAATTAACTAAATTTTCTAAATTTTTTCAATTATCCGTAGCCGATCGTTCGTTTCTTTTCTTCGTCGTTCGAAAGCGACGCAGCGTGGCATTCGGCGATGTTATCATTTCGTCGTCACTGAACACGAAGAGGGCGATTGATCTGACCAAATTTGGAGAATTCTCAGCTCGCGACGTGCAACTTGTTTCGTGTCAGCGACGCTTTCGCACGAGATGATCGCACGCACACTTACGTACACGTATACGAAAAATACAGTGCGGCAAACGACGTGTTACGTGTTCTTTCTCTCTCCTCGATACTCTCGTTTCATAATCCTGTCCCTATTCGACCGATTTTATAATAAATTATGCAAGACGAGAGGCATTCCGGGCACGTTTCGGGAATTTAACGACACACGCGACGAAAATTCTTTCGAGCCACTCTTCGTTTCACTTTTCGCGAGAGTCTGAATATCAATGATTGGACTGGTTTCTATGGTTTTTTTTTTCACGCTCGGCGGCAAAGTTTGATCCACGAGCAAGCCTCTCACAAATAATCCTGCGAGCTTATCGTTTGTTAATGTACACAGGAACGTGTAGATGCGGGTCACGTTTGTTTTTGCACGTTCGCCGAACGTAAATACGATGCCGACATGGCCTTGCCTCTGCTGCTCTCGTTCCGCGTTTGAGAATGCGAGTGATGTAATCGGTTGGCCAATCAAACCGTTTGTTGGCATTTCGTAGACTTTCATTTGTGTTAAAAGAAATTATCCGAATTGTTGTTGTAATTCGAAATGAAATAAGTCAAATATATTCATCTTTTTTATTGTATTATCGTGTATCGACGAGTAATAGTTTCAACTAGTACGTGTAATAGTGAATGAGAACTTTTGCAAAGAAAAAATAACTCGAAATAAATAAATGTGTCTGATGTTCGTTATTACGAAGATTCAAAGGTACAATTTTTGCAAAAATCAGTTGTATTTTCACACATTCATCTGTAATTTATATTGCAGCATCCTGACGTCATATATTCATCTCTTATCGTGTTATAATCCACAAGTAGTACCTAATTATCTAATTTTCTGCTGAATTTACGAAAAAAAATAATTCGAAATAAATAAATGTGTCTGATGTTCGTTATTACGAAGATTCAAAGGTACAATTTTTGCAAAAATCAATCCTATTTTTTCACATTCATCTGTAATTTATATTGCAGCATCCTGACGTCATATATTCATCTCTTATCGTGTTATCATCCACGAGTAGTACCTAATTATCTAATTTCCTCCTGAATGAGAACTTTTACGAAAGGAAATAATTCGAAATAAATAAATGTGTCTGACGTTCGTTATCACGAAAATACAAAGATAAAATTTTTGCAAAAATCAGTCCGTCTTTTTCATATTTATCTGTAATTTACATTGCAGCATCCTGACGTCATATATTCATTATCATCCACGAGTAATAGTTTCAAATAGTGCCTAATTTCCTCCTGAATGAGAACTTTTACGAAAGGAAATAATTCGAAATAAATAAATAAATGCATCTGACATTCGTTATCACGAAAATACAAAGAT